AAACAGGAGAACCGATTTAAATCACTTGATAGGTAAATGTATTACAGGAAAAAAACACGGCCGGTGTTTGATTCTATTTCTTGCATCTATATTAAATATCAATACACCGATAAACACTTTCAGAACTAGCAGACGACAGGCTATTCTTATCAGTGGTATTTCGAGTAAAGATAACGGGTTGCGTATTTCACTGTATAAATCGTATGTAAAATGGTCTGACATATGATAGGTTTAACAGTTAATTTAAATACTTTGGAGTCAAAAGATTTGTTGAAGTTTATACTGTGATGAAGCTAAGATCCGAAGCTTTCTATTGGTGTAATATAGGGTTTCTTAATCAGACAAAAATCATAATCGATCATCGAAAATAATCAAACAACCCTTTTCGATCAATCATCGATTATATAATCGAAATATTTACAATAACAAAATTAATATGTACAATGTACATATCATGCTTTACTATTTATTAGAATTCCATTAATATTCTATATTTTGTGTAACTACAACTTTGTCAACTGAAATAAACTAGTTTACAGATATACTATGCTCATCCTTGAGTAAAATATTTTAATCCAATAAATTCATTTAAATCTATAAAATTATGCTGTGTCAATTTCAGTAAAGGAATGAATAAACTATGCATGGGAACAAGTTAAGTTGGTTCTTTCAAAACTGTCAGGTTTTTTTTAATGACACTATATATTGATATTGTACCTACATTTAGTGTGTAAAATAATTTTATACATAACATATCTTCTTTGTGTGAATTCAAAACATGTTTATTTTATATTTACAAATAGACTGTGTAGCAATTCTAAATATTTTCTAATGTCAGATTTGAGCATAGTATATCCCTCACTGTCAACTATTTACACCATGGTCACCAGTATGCTTTCATATTCAATTGAATGCAAGTTATTGTCTCAACCAAAGTTGGCTTTAATTTAGAGTGATGTTATAATACAGTGAGTCACTTCAGTAACAGCAAAAAAATAAATTACCGATGATCGATTATTAAACCTTGTTATCGATCATCGCCGATCAGTCCTTTAAACGATCAATTTTCGATTATACTCGGTCATCGTTTAATCCCTAGTGTAATATATTTTAAAATCGGACATTTAATCACAACAAACCAGCGGTTTAAAAATGGCTTATTTTGTATTGTTTTAGCATAAGCGGTATCGATTTTATAATACAGTGAGTCACTTCATTCGAAAAAGGCACGCAGCATTGGCATCATTTAAAGCATGCGACTTGCCTTATATGGGGGTTTGAAAGACAGGATTTTCTTGCATAGCACTGGCATTTCCATGAGTTTTACGGTTACCCATGCCGGAAATTTCATCTGGCATAGGGGGTGCCAGATGAGTGGCCTGCAAAACAACAACCTCATTTACGCGCACTTTATGAATGAACCGTGTTACAATAACTTTGTTTTAGAAGGCAAAGATATGCTTAGGATGACGTCATTTCGCCGTTGTTATTTAAGTTGTATGTTCATACGCTATTGTAATAAAATAATTGTAATAAATGGATCAAATTACTTTTAATTTCTATGACCATATATCATATTAAGGTAAACCATTTTAAATATGAAATAGTATGGCAGAATATGCAAGAAAAGATATCTGACATATGTTTGCAGTTCGGATCAGAATATCTGTCCCTAGGGACCCCACCCATGGGTGGTAACTCTGCAAGCCTTGGTATGAACCACAACATATGACAGATATTATTTTTCTAGCAACGGTGTAAACGGTAGATAATCCTGTCTGATATGCAAGAAATGTTTATTTGCCATATTTGATCCATGATAGTAAATATACAGGCCCTTAATGTACTAAATTTCTTTCAGCACGGGCTTGATTACCTTGTGCAGGCCAGTGTACAGCAAGAAGGAGTGTGAAACCCTGACTATTGGTGCTATTCATTGTAAGTATTATACCAAATTATAGCCTTAATGCTAGAAAACTTTTCTATTCATATCTTCAAAATTATATGGCATACAAAATGATACATCCTAAGCTGTTTAAGACATACATTGTCTTTTTTTGTGCAAACTCTGAAGCCATTTTGATGGATAAAATCCGGCATGCAGCAGCTTGAAGGATTATTTTTGATAGGGTGAGACCTAAGGAATTTGTTATCAAAAATTTCTGTAATTGTTCCAAAATTTCAACAGTATGGTAAAATAGAGAAAATAAGAATACCTAAAGAAAGTCCAAAACGGCAAAATTGAAAATGTGTCAGACTCAGTTTGATTGAGCCTGTTCATAGATGGTAGTGTAAAGTGCAAACTACCATCCACGCCCCCTAGCACCGGCTTAAGCAGACTTCATCATTTAATCATGATTATGATGAAATTTTGAATTTAGAGACATCTGCAGATGTTTTCATACATGTGTTCATATGTCTATGTACAAAATACATGATAAAAAGTAGGATAGAGTATTAGACTCACTGTGCTTTTGTACTGCCCTGCTATGGAGCTATCTTTTTTAGGTAAAGTGTCTACCTTAAATGCGAGGTATTGTGTTAAAATCTTATTCAGTGCTGAAATATTTCTAGTCTGTTACATATGTCCAAAATATATATTTACATGTATACACCTTTGCAAACAATACACTGATTAGATTACTTTTATTTTAAAGGTTTTTTGTAGATCATGGCATCTTTGGAGCCAATATTTCGTAGAGGAGCAGATGGCAGTCTTCTGCTTACAGACACTGTAGAGGTCAAGGTCATTAAGGATCAACATAGGAAGCAGGACTTTGTTAAGACCAAGCCACCATCTGTAGTGCGGGAGAAGGCAATGCAGATTGTGAGGAATGCAGGGGGAGACATCAATAATTCAAAACATCTTCTCGGCTGCTTTGAAATTCAGTTTGGCCAATTCAGGTGTGTTTTAAACAGACCCCCTTTGTACAAATTAGATAGTTTTGTGTTTCATACTCTTTTCTTGCATATCATACTGGTCTATCCACTAATTTTACCCATGATGATGGAAATTTTTCATGCTATACAATGGCATGTTCAGGATGACATAAATTCGCTATTATGAATGAAGTTCTAATTTCATTTGGATATATTATTTCGATTATAACATAACATCAAAAAAAAATTGTTGGTCTGTCTGCTGTACCTGATAGCAAGCTTAATAGCTCCTGATTTATTTCTGTACTTATTTCCAGCGAGTCACATTTTTTATGGCAACATCACATGTTCTATTGTTGTGTCACATGTCTAAATATAGAATGTCAACAGTGATTTTATTGCATAATAACATACACTTTCTGTCCTATGTTCAATAGGGAAAAATGCGTTTCCTTTTAGAATATTCTATTACATGACCCATGATAAAGGTTTGCAATAATTGAAATAAAAATTGCTTTCATTTAAAAAAAATCTGACAACATTTTGCTAATGAGCATAGCTGTTTTATTATATTTATTCAACCTGAATCATTGTTGTTATTTTCTAATAGAGGGCAGACATTCAAATGGATGCTTGAAAATTCACCTGGCTATGCTGGATATATAGTGGCAGGCATGGATAAGGATGAGACAGCCCCCACAGATTTCCGGTGGATTCATAAAATGGCGCTGAAAAAATACGTTGAACTCTGGCCGGAAGGAAGAGAGATAGTGGAGAGAAAGAGAAAAAGTTTTGCAGTGAAGACACAAGGTATGTTATTATTGTTGTTTTTTTTTCTTTTATGAGGCATACTATTTTTCTTTTGTTTCTGTCTGTAAGTTTGGATAAGGTGATATTTCCAACAGGTAAAATATGTCTTAACATTAAGACCAGCTCATGATGTAAAAATTTTGCATAGACTTTATTATTGTTATAGGTAAAGATCGTATAGGTGTATATATGTAATTGGACTCCTTTTCAAGGTTAAGGTCACACTTATTGGCCAAAACTTAGTAAAGTCTGTATTTTCCTTGCCCATAGACTAACTCAACTAAAAAGAACTAGAGAAATTCCAGCCCTGCAAGAGAACCAATACTCATTTTAAATAATTTTCATTTTATCTCCCTTAATGTATTTATTTTCAGCTGTCATAAGATTAAAAAGGGATTTATATGTAGTTTAAAACATAAAAAGATATCTATGAGTTGAATGAACAGACTTAGCTTTTATTATTTTTTAACTATAAGTCGAGATCCATACATACTATTTCAGAACTAGTACAATTGTGTTCTTTATGTAAAAAAATCGTTAAGGTGCAAAAGATAGTAACTGTTACAAATGTTTTCTTTATTTATTTATTTATATGTGGTTTTGTCTTTGTAGGTGTGTCTCAAACATCGCAGGCAGCAAAAGGAGACATGTCTGATGTGGAGCTTCTACTAGCTACTCAAGAAATTGAACAAATTACTACCACCGCAGGTAAACTTGTAGCATTGTAGACTTCAATAAATCCATTTAGAAATGAACAATTAAAGCAGAATAAATAAAAAATTTCTGCAGTCAATTGGCCATAAAAAGGTTGCAATTTTCTTATAAGTTGAAAATAAGATCTCTGGCCTCTGCGGTACTTACGCAATCAGAAAATGAACCCCATATAGAGAGACTTAAAACTGTTGTAATAACGTGTCTGTTACAAAACAATGAGGAATACAGAATTTGTAAAGAATGCACAAAACAACAAAATGGAAAATGTGCAGGCTGGGAAATTGATTGAGTCTGTTCATGGACTGTACTGGAAAGTGCAAATTACCGTCCCTAGCACGGGCTTGTTAAAGTCTCAGAATATTGCATATATATTTATATATATGAGGGCTTTAATGACTGTAATTGTAGCGTTTTGTTTTGTTTGCAAAGAAGTTAAAATATTTTAATATATCTGTATCATACAGTATTTATTGCGTGTAATTTTTATCCAGACCCATATCTGCAAATACTAAGGTCAATTTTTATAAGATTCAGTACAGCATAGTAAACAACTTAGTATACCTGATTGAATAATCATAGTCTTTTTTATAAGCTATCTGAGGTGAGGAGTTGGTAAGTATGATGGGTAGGTAAGTATAACTGGGAAGGTTTTGGACAGTGGCTTACACATATATAACTCTACCATTTTACCGCTTTAGTAATCATCAGTTTATCTGGTTGATCAGAATCATTTCACAATGCACGGCTTTGTGACATCCACTTTCATTATCATTTTACTTGCTCTGTAGACTTCTTTTACTAGTCATTTGGTGTGGTGCAGTCATCTAACCTATATACTATATCTGATAGCAATTTCTGGAAAAGGACTACTGGTGATATATTCTACATAAGTATTGTAGCAATACAGCAAACACTAGTGCTACTTAATATCAGGGTTTATTTTTTAAAAGTAAATCCTGAAACAGTAATTTTTGGTGAATTTAACGACTAATGCTTTCTTTTAAGTTAACCCAGGGATACCCATAATTCTCTTCAGTCTTAAGCATTTGGCCTGATGGGTTGCATGAATGACTTTATTTGGCAGTCACAAATTATGAGTAGTTACCGTTCTTCTTTTCCAAAGATTGTAAATCCTTTTTTCTTATACAAGCTGTGCAAAAGAATACTTGCAGGATTATTGTCTGAACATGGACTATTAAGTTCTTCTAAATAACAAAATTTTTCTGTTTGACCGACCGGAAGAATATTTTTTACAAACAAAATAAAATAAAAAACAAAGTGCAATACTGAACCGAAAGTTAGTCCATTGCTACAAAATTTTGTAACCTGTATCAGCTGCACAGCTTATATTTTATATGTTGTAACTGGGTACTTAAGTGCTTTCATTATTTTGTGACTGGTGTACATGTATATAATGCTTCACTTTTCTTTGTGTCTTCTGTTTTAAATTTTAATACTTTCATGTTGTCTTCTTAATGACCCTCATCATGAGAAAACTAATCAACAAAAAAGCAGATCAAATTATGTCTGATAATAATACAGTATGCTTTCTCAAGCTAAATATAAAATGTCATTTCCCGGAGGGGTGTTTGAGACGGAAAAGTCTGGATTTGTCTCATCTGACCAGAAAAGAAATCCATTTTCTCATGATGTGGTTCACATATATATATTATCCATTACATATATCTAGCTACATGGTAGTCTGTCGTTAATCATTACATATATCTAACTACGTTGTCTGTCGTTAATTCTCAGAGTACACTGCTTTTGTAAATACATTGTAATACTAATCCTCTTATTGCATCTTTAATAATGTTTTTTAAATTTATATAAAACTTTTCCGAAACCTCATTATAAAAGATATAAAATCTATCCTATAAATGGAAATGAATTTACAAAGAAATTTTAAAGAAAATAGAAGAAACAATAATTTAGTTCATCATAATAAAACTCACCGCATATGTATATTATATGTTTTTTGGTTTTAGAGTAATATATAAGGATTTATCACATAATCCGCAGCGCAGGACTGTAATAAAGCCATTTAATAAAAATAATATTACACTAGTGTTATAACACTTTGACGTAACGTCATTTGCGCTATATAGAAACATAGCTTTAAAGCTTATCAATGTTTGCATTACACCATAGGCGCGTCATTGAAAAATTACTCATTTTAACAGTTGACTGTTCTTAGTTTATACATGTGATAAATAGAATATTATATTCCTGTAGATTCAATACTAAATTTATTGAACTCGTTGCAATTTCTGACTTAAGTAGCATTAAATTTTGAAATTCAATTCTTGGCTTGACTGGAACAAGTTTTGTTTTACTTGGTTTTCATACCATCGATATACAAATGTTTTAAGAGCACAGTTGATATTATGTTGAGAAATAGGTATTAATATTAGATATACCCGCCAAGAAATGGGAGTACATGACATCAATGACAGCTTCTAAACTGCAGAAGCACTTTGGTTCAACCATTGGAGACAGAGTTACTACAGGTCAGCAAAATTTGTATGTGTAATGGGCAAGCTTGCAGCAAAGACTCATTTGAGGTTTGGCATAATTATGCCACACCCTAAGTTAGTCATTGCTGCAGGATGAAAAAATGCAAAGGTTGGTACAAGTGACTCTTGCTATATACATGTGAACTCTCCCAAGCAGGAGACTCCCACTTTCTGCCAAGAATTTTCTTAAAATAAGGGGTATTTTTCATAAAGTAAAGAAATCTCCCTATTTCTGATATCAGATCTTCCTTCTTTGTTCATTGTAAATTCTAAAATCTCCCGCTTTTTGAAGAAAAACCTCCCACTTGATCATTAAAAAAAGTTCACATGTATGTCACTAGTATTTGATTTCTTTAAGTTATATTTCTATTGATAAGCATAGTTTTTTCTTTTCAGAATGATCACACTGTTACTAAATGATCAGACTCTGCTTTGTTATTCAAGAACCATCTTTCTACAGACAGAACCTTTTCTTTTCAGCACCATTCTGATACAATTTGTGTATGTGCTATGCTATATTTGATATTTTGTGTATGTGCTATGCTGTATTTGATATTTTGATTGTTTCATTTACACACAGATCACCAGACCTCTCAAAGTGTACCAGTGCTCTCGTCTCGAGAATTGTTTGTGCCAACTGTCTCAGCACAGCGGAAAGGTATAAAACTGTTTAAGTAAATTCTAAGAAACATTTGTAATCAGGTGTAATAATTTCAGATGCAAAAATCAATGTACTGTTTCCATAAAATTGACAAGAACAATAGCTGAAGTTTTTTTGTTTGTTAAAAATGTGAATCACATACATTAAGCAGTGATACTTGTTTTTAATACAGCATCCACTGTTTTGAATAGGAAACTTGTTAGTATTTGTCTATTCATGAAAAACAGATTACATATAGAATTAAACACACTTTCAATAAAATATTAAGGGAAACATTTTGGAAGTAATCCAAATTACAGAATGTAAACCAAGGAAATACAATAGGAGACCTGGTTTTACTGGTTCTATCCATGAGTGGTAATGAAATGTGCAAGCATTTTCATGCTGCCTTGTACCTGCTTAAGTGAAACTCTCTTATAGCAATATTGATAATGAAAATATAATATAATATACACTGAAGCAGTGTTCTTTAAGTGTGTCTTAACTGTGAACTGTTTTTGTACATACAATGTTTAAAGTTGCATGGTGTTACCAAAGTTTGCAATAACTATGGTTTTAAATTTTTATTAATATTTTCAGCTTTGTTATCGGGTGCTTGTTTGCCAGTCCAGAAACCATCGCCGGCCCGAGTGAAAATTCAGAAACCAAGGTCAGCTACTTCAGTCAACCAGACAACACTGTCCGCGGCTTCTGCTTCCCCAAAACCGTTACCAGTTACACAACAGTCTACAGTTACGCAACAGTCTGTAGTTACACAGAAGTCTACAGTTACACAACAGTCTACAGTTACACAACAGTCTACAGTGACACAACAGTCTGTAGTTAGTCAACAGTCTACACAACAGTCTGTCGTTACACAACAGTCTACACAACAGTCTGCAGTTACACAACAGTCTGCAGTTAGTCAACAGTCTACACAACAGTCTACACAACAGTCTGCAGTTAGTCAACAGTCTACACAACAGTCTACACAACAGTCTGCAGTTAGTCAACAGTCTACACAACAGTCTGTCGTTACACAACAGTCTACACAACAGTCTACAGTTACACAACAGTCTGCAGTTACACAACAGTCTGCAGTTACACAACAATCTACAGTTACACAACAGTCTGCAGTTAGTCAATCACTTCCAGATACTCCCAGTGAAACAGCAGATGAAGGTATGTTAATGTAGTTTCAAATAAAAATGAAAGTCTAACAAGTACAAATATGATTGGTTTCCTTGGAGACTTTTGTCCATGTTTTGTGAGAAAACCTGTCTTTGGAGTTTTCAACCAGACAACCAGATGTACCCTTTCCTGACATATATAATTTTCAGATTTATTATTCTATTCAAGCAATAAACATTAGAAGTACTGATAAAAATGCACAAAATGCACTTATTTTTTGGTGCACATGTAATTTTTAGTTTTTGTCATAGCAAGGGTCATTTGTAGTTTGATTTTGGCGACATTTTTTTTCTCTCTCCCTATTTTAAATAACGAAAAGTATGAGGAGGGACACTATGTTGCTTAAATGTTGTTTTTGTTGAGTACATTTATTTATATTTGGACATAACAACACTTGTGACAAAACTTTCATGTGGCAAAAGTAAAATGTTACCTTGACCATTAGTTTTCCTAGATCCTTAAGGACAATTATACAAATTTATTTCATGCTTTTCAGTGCTTTACTGTAATATATCAGAAGATTATATTCTGATAAACCACAAATATAATTTTCACTTTAGCCCGACTATATCTGAATGCGGATGAAAAGAATATCATAACTACATAAAATAACAGGCAAAAAATTATGTTGTCATACGTAATTTATGCTTATTTAGATAAAGAAAGTCGATATCATCATACATTATGTTAAAAATGTAACAAAATTAGAAACATTTAACAGAACAAAATCAGTAAAAAATACTTAAAATTACTTTAAAGCATGAAAGAAAATATTTATTTGTGTTACATATATTTCATTCGTGAACAACAGATATACTATTTTCAATCGTGGCTACGCCACACGTGGAAATATTGCATCTGGTGTACAATAAGTGAAATATATTTCAATATTACATGCAAAAGAAACAAATATCCTCTATTTCTTTAATTTAATGTCTGTATAAACTTTGTAATTTATACAAAAGAATGATTAATACTTGGACCAAATAGCTATAACTGTTAATATAACATTTATGATCTTTAAGGCATCTTTTTCTTTATAAAATTGTCAACAACTTTCTTTTATTATTATGTATTTGGTTTATACCTGAACAAATAAAAAATCAGGACCAAACTTTCAGTTTGGTTATTCAAAAGCTGTCTTTTACCATTGAAGCACTTTCACACATAAAGGTCTCTATAAGTGCATTTGCTCATTTTTTGATAGGGGAATAATGTGGGGGTGGGGGACAGAGAGTGGGTAATTATCTCATTTATTATCTCATTTATTCTTTTTTTCTTCAGATCTTTGTCTCCCTGCTAGATGGAAGAAAACACTACCCAAAGTAGATCAGCAATGGATCTCGAAGGCCTTGTTCCGCTGGAATAAATCAGGGGGAGTGGAACTGGTACCAGAACACCTGTCCAAGTTATGGTGGTATCCGCCACAACCGGCTGTAGCAGTAAACAGCATACCTGGAGTGGACAGGTATTTTGCTCGGCCCTTGTTCTTGTGGATGCCACGGAAACAGTGGAAGGTCCGATTATGTTGCCCCCACCCTGGATGTGAGAATAAAGAGTTGGCTTCAGCTGGGATCAATCAAAAGGTTCGACAAGTCACCGACATTGATGGTTTTTACAATATGGCCTGTGACAACCTGGAATGTATGAAGTGTCGGCGCAGGGTTCTCAGCTGGAGCCATGCCATTTTGTCACAACTTGACATAGGGCATCGGGTTCAGTTCCCATGCATTCTTACAGCCAAACTGGCGTGTGACTATAAAGTGGTGCGTCTGCTGCGGAACAGAGGTCTTGGGAATAGTTGCAGTCAGGTGCGGAAGAAGCTTGATGAGGAGCATGGAGAAAAGTGGCTGCAGAATGTTATACACTATATGACAGACTGCAGCTGGTTTTCTAGTGCAGCCGAGTCAAGCTTGGTGATACATCCAACCTTCGCTGAACCGCCACAGAGAGCATCTTTACCCAGGCATCGATGGCTTATGCAGATCTATATCCAGGATGTTCTACATCGTTTGGATGAAATGAAGGCAGGCATAACCTCGGTGTTTGGAAGAATCATCAAAATTGATTCAACGAAGAAAGTGGTGAAAAAGTTGGCTGGACGTCCTGCAAAGACTGCACTATGGTGCACAAACATTGGAAACGAGTATGGACAGGTCCTTATGTCTGTCATGACCTCAGGAGAAGGACATGGTCTTACCCCTATGTTGGTTGGTGTTATCAACCGTTACTCGAAGGCTGAGGTAACCTCCCCAGAGATCATCTATGTTGATCGAGACTGCTGTGGATCTTCGCCATTACAGACTGTGTTGACCGCATCATCATGGAATACAGTGATACGGTTAGACATTTGGCACTTCATGAGGAGGATTGCAACTGGTTGTACAACTGACTCTCATCAGTTGTATTCCTCCTTCATGGGGTTGCTAAGCAACTGTATTTTTCATTGGGATGAGGAAGATCTCAGCTGTCTCGTCAAGTCAAAACGTAATGAGCTGACAGCCCAACACCTCTTCATCAAGTCTGATGCTGACCTCATGAAACATATCAGTAGGTACGAGCTAGCCTTGCACTGCCGCAGAAAGACCAGAGGTGAAGCTGAAACTACTCGGCTGATTAGTGAACTCATCAAAACATTCAGTGGTGAAAAGGGGAGGGATACTCTTGGGGTTCCACTTATCAACAGCTCAAGGATGAAGAGCATATGGGATGCCCAAAAGAAGCATATAGCCTGTATACAGGATCCTCCAGACATTTCCCTGTACACCAGGACTGGCTCCACCAAGAAAGGAGGGATTGAGCTGCCCAACTTCCGATGTGCTCGGGGATCCACTTCACTGGAGAGCTTTCACCTACATCTGAACAGGTTTATCCCAGGTAATAAATACAAACCTTAGCACAGTAGTTTGTACAAATATTAAGCTCAGATCTGATCACCTTACAGATTTATGTCTAGGCTATTCTGTGTTTGTTGACAACTCTCATTTGCCATGTTCTCAATTAATATTTGTATGGTAAATAATTTCTGTATGGTTTGCACAATAACGCTTCTTTTTCTTGACACATTATCTGATCCATTATATATATATTTGACAGGTACCTTGGCTAGTGATGTCCTGTTCCAGGCATATATGGTAGATGGTCTCCACAGGTGGAATGAAGACAGACAACGGGCAGCAATAACAACACAGACTGACCATCAGTCATACAGTGGCCTCTTACGGCATACTGCCAATGAATTGGGTCTGAAGGTGCTCAATAAGAAGATTGACCCTACTTACAATGAGCCAAGAAAGTATACAGGTATATTGTTTGATACAAATACAAACAGCATGAAATTTAGGTGGTTTCAGTGGCTAAGTGGTTAATGTTGTTTACTTCAAACCTCCTGCCTACCACTGTTGTGGGTTCAAATCCTGCCACAGACTGGATTCTTTCTTTCATGTGAGGATGCTACCTCATGAAATGTCAGTGGTTCTACTTGAGTGACCAATACTGTGTTGGTTATAATAATATAAAACCCAATGAAACAAACAAAATTAAATTAAGATATACTGATACAGGATGTAATCTTAAAAAGGTTATTTCATAAATACAAAAATATAAAGCTTGGGATGAGCTTTGGGATCTACTCTGTCAAATGAGAATTGATGTTCAGGCTGGTCAGCTTTTTTTATGTTCACATAATATAATATGATATACTCATTGGCAGGCTTATTTCACAAACAAGTCTAAAATTACTGTAACATATTCTCAAGCAGTATTTTTTTTTCCAGGTGAACTAATTGGCATAGAGTATCTGTATAGCCAGACAGGGAAGGTGCTTGAGGATTATATGAAGGCTATCGAGACCCTCGAGACAATTCCTGAAGACGACAATGTTGACACTGGGGATGATGAAGAGGTGGTACAAGAAACAGATCACATAGATGACCTCACCATTTCTACTATTGGTTTGAAGGAGTCTTCTGATTTTGTTATGGAAGCACCAGTGGTACAGCCAATACAACAAATGGTTGAACCACCTCATCCATTGTCACCTGAAACGAGGGATAGGAGGTCTACAATTGAGAGCCCTATGCCCCAGTTGTCTGATTCAATGACTACGGACACTGTCAACTTACAAACTATGATGGTAGGTTTAAAATGCATTTCCTTGTGTACATTTAAACATAATAATGAATTTATGTTTCAGCAACAGTCTAAATGCGGGGCCCAAAAAATATGTTTTTCGGCTATAGGGTATTTATCCCTAAAAATCTAGAGTGATGGATAAAATGCAAATTCTGAAAAGTATAAGGGGCAAAATTTATGAATAGCATGTTTTATGATCAATAGCGTTGCCTTTTTAAAGAATAAATCAAGCTGACTGTATTTCCAATTTATGACAAAATACTTTTTTTTTATTCTTTAACTATTTCCTACTGCCTGTTTTACTTGGTACGAATGTATTGAGTACAAAACTACAAGGGAAAAATACTTTACTCCAGCAACAAAAGTGGCAGATATCAAAATATTTTTATTTATTTTGCATCAAAAACTTGACAATGTATTTCAAAACAAATTTAATATCATTTAACATTGACACCTATGACAATTGCCTGCCACATTAATTTTAAATATTATTTATTTCATATACAGTAGTAACTTCCCTTTTATAGACATTACACTTCACTTCCTGCTACTTTCGTTTTCATCATACACAATCATTTTTTGTTTTCCATACAATAAAGCAGAAATATATTTATTGTTTTACAGCCCAGTGACTCAGTTTCAACTCTTATCAGTGAAGATGAGGAACCTAATCCTGAAACGGAAAGTGAAGTAAGATATTGCTTATTAATAACTAGATAACTTAATTACAAACCTTAAAACAAAACTAATTGGACGCAAGAAAGGACTGTTGTAGGCATCCTAAAAGTTGAACAATGTAATATTGCCATAAGCAAAACTGTATTTGTGTAGATTGAATGGCATACTTAAGATTCTATTAGACTGTACTTGGAGGATGTGATCTTGTTCCTGATTGTTTGCACAGACATGCTGATCTGAGAAGATGGCTGATTGAATAGAGCAATTATTAGCCCTGCGTCATACACAAGTTCATATCTCTGTGTTTAAAGCAGGGCAGTGAATTGGCAACCTCACTGCACCACTTTTAAGACTTGAATTTTCAAAAACAGCTCACAAAAAGGCTCATCCATATTAAGCATGTGTTTCATCTTCTTCTTTCAGGAATCTGTTGGACCAGACAGCATACCAGGGTATGGTAGGGTCCAAGAGCTGGCAGCATATCTTGTTGATCTCCGCCAAGCTATATATCTGACCAATTCTCAAGTGACGTGCCTTATCAAGCTCTGGAATAATCTTTCGGATTATGACAAGGGACCTACTGTCTTTGAAGAGAGGTTTTCAACCGAAGCCAGAGGGCGCTACAAGGCCAAAAAATCTCTCCGTAATGTTGTTCCAGGAGTTGAAAGTACCGAAAGGTAATAATATGCTTCTTTGTAAATTGGTTCTGGTGGTAATTGATTTTGTTTTACTTTTAATTAAGTACATGCACTTTCAAAAGTCAATTTTTCACCATCTTAACCCAGCACATACAGTGCTTAAAACATAAAGCTATTACAGCAAATAAAACCCCAACAACTTGGGAAATTTATTAAGCACATTCATTAGAGATGGCCTCAGAATAATGGATTGGTGTACATACACACATAAAAAACTAAGCTTCGTTAGGTATTTTTAAATTAATAATTGGATTACATGATCTAAAAATAGCCAAAATCTCTTCGGTCCAAACATTACTTAAACAAACAAATCATATTCACTGGTGTAGTAACATATTCACTGGCTGAAATGGATATTCCCAATCTAAAAATAGAATCAGACTCGTATTCAATAACCATACGTCAAGGACAACTGGGCCTACTTAAATCATATTCACTGGATGAAAATGATTTAGGGTTGCGCAGTTATGAGTAGTTGTAGTATCATATTCAATGACAGAATTTTCCCTGTTTTTAATAGAATCAGACATATTATTGAATGACTGTACAATATAGCTATTTGAAATAGTTGCATTTTGTTCTTAATGGCATATTTCTCAATTCAAAAAAGTTATACCGCAATGATAAGTACAATAAGAAGTTTTTTTTTAACCATTTCACTGCCATAGGGACGGCTTATGCCGCCCGTCCCTGTTATTTTCGCCATATTTGCCATATGGATGGCTTTTGCCGTTTCTATAATAATCATAATAATGATAATAAATTAATAATAAAAATAATAATAAATATAAAGAAAATTATACCATCAACAATAATTATTATTATACTAGCATATTTGGAAGCATATATAATTATTATAATACTAATAACAAATAATAATAATGATAATTATATTAATTAATAATATAGTAATTACTCAGAAAACCCTCTGGCAAATAGGTGATCAATAAAACAATAACCCTCTGGCAGCAAAAGGGTTAATATTAGGCTTTACTTTTGCAGGTGTTTTTTGAATGTAAGGCTGATTATATAATAAAGCAGTTATTGACTAGTGATTCATTGAATATGTATAATATTAAATGAAAACATGCAAGCCTGATTTAAAAAAAAAACAAAAACTGCAAATTTATTTTGTAAATTTCAAAGGTGTAGATCAGTGTGCATATGCTTGTTCATGACCGAACTCATAATGTTTTCCAGGGTTATGCGCGGTGGACCTGGTGCTGTTCCTGCGAGCTGGCCAAGCGCAAACAGATACACAGAGGCTATTTTCATCCGCCTCTTATATGTATTACCCAGAAACAGATCCCGTTTTGATGATGTGGCAAAGGCCTACTATAACATCAGACAGCTGGTTTTACAAAACGGAAAGATTGTTGCAGAGACCAGTATACAATTACCAGAAATAAGTAGAGGCACCTTAATACAATGGTAAGTAATTGTAACATTGTGGACAGATGCTGTATTCTTGATCTAAAATTTCATCTATTTTAATACTACATGTGGGCAAACAATAAAGGCTGAATTGAGAGATTTCGCAAATGTTCATTATCTGTTCACAAATAAAATATGTATCCTTATCACAGTAACGAAGGTGCAGGAGTGTAATAAAGCCATTTAATAAAAACGATATTACACTAGTGTAATAACACTTTGATATGACATCATTTGTTTTATTTATAAACATAGTGTTAAAGCCCGCTAAAGTTAGCATTACACTATAGGCGTGTCAATGAAAAAATAATCTTATTTTTTACAGTTTATTGTTCATATTTTATATATGTGATTTACAGAACATTATATTCGTGTAGATTCAAGACTACATTTATTGAACTCTGATTAAAACAATATCATACTAGCCAGATGCTAGCATAAAATGATTTTTTCAGCTCATTCAATAAATTCAGTATTAAACCTACACTCATTCAATATCCTCTATTTATCACGTGGCTTGGCTAAATTAATTATTACAGATTACACAAATACTTAAACAAAATAATTGGTTTCGTGTGTTGAGGAGTGAGTATTCTATGATATAGCCAGTGTAATTTACACCTTTTTCTTGTTTCTTTAGGTATACAAAGCGTGGGAAAATGCTGGATAAGCTTGTGGTGACCCAGGGTGTGCGGTTTGAGCAGCCGTCACAAACAACATCTTGTGGCATTCCAACTGCTCTAGATAAACCAGCAAAACTTACAACAGGAAAAGTGGAGTCACACAAGTTCACATGTCCAACCAACACAGCTGGTTTAGCGCGAATGAAAGGGCAGAAACGGAAGTCGTCTGGTCTTCAGCTAGTGGTCACTACAGAGAGCACTCCAATACTACCCACAGTTCCTAGTTTTTCCCCATCGTCTGCATCTCCCCTTTACACATCCGAGTCAACTTCTCCACCTGCTACCACCCGTAATGCATCTCAGTTGACTATTTCAGTCACTGTCCCTAGTTTGTCCGAGTCTGATGCTGTTGTACAGTCAAATCCTCACCATACTGTCCCCCAGTGGACTTCACCCCACACTACCCCTCGGTTGACCTACTCCCTTATTGCACCCAAGTTGACTCATTCCCTGTCTGCCACCCAGCCCTGCTCAGTTTTTAACCCCGGGCCCAGTGCTCTTGTGACCACTACTCAAAGTACCTGCATTCTTCCTGCTCAGCAGTCCACTCCTGCTGAGCCTGCTCAACAGTACGCTGAAACTTTGAGAGCCACCCCTATTGGACCTCTGAATATGCTGACACTTAGCACTGATGGACAATCATGTCAGTGGACACAGCCCAGTCAAGCTAGTGTAACATCGATGCCCAGCACATCTGAAGTACCATACACTACTCAGAGGTACAGGAAGAGAAGGCTTGAAAAGGAAAAAGCTGGAATATTTAAAAGGAAATATGATAGGAAGAAAGTGCCAACATGTAGACATTGTGGCCAGGAACGTACAGCCCCAAACCATGTTCAGTACTTCATGAACTGGTTTTGTCGGGCCACTGCCACAATGTCTTTCGAGAATTGGAAAGAATCCTTCAAACAAAAAGGATATGGAAAGAAAGACAAAAAGGAGTAAGATTGTGCTTCAATTTATTCATCAACACTGTTTAAAAGTGTTTAGTAGTGAATTTATCAACACTGTTTTACAGTGTTTAAAAGTGAATTTATCAACACTGTTTTACAGTGTTTAAAAGTGAATTTATCAACACTGTTTTAAAGTGTTTAAAAGTGAATTTATCAAACCTGTGTTACAATATGGTATAAATCAGCACTAAAGTGACAGATATTTAAGTGGATTTATTGACAAACGTAATAAACATGCTTAGTAGAATATATACCAACACCGAAAGTGACAGATATTTAAGTGGATATATTGACGGCAGTATTAACAGTGCTTAGTAGAATATTAATCCCCACTGAAAGTGACAGTTCTTTAAGTGGATTTATTGACAGTGGTATGAACAGTGCAAGTAGAATATTAACACTGAAAGTGGCAGATATTTAAGTGGATTTATTGACAGTTGTATTAAACATGATGTAGAATATTTATCAACACCGAAAGTGACACATATTTAAGTGGATATAATGACGGCAGTATTAACAGTGCTTAGTAGAATATTAATCGACACTGAAAGTGACAGTTCTGTAAGTGGATTTATTGACAGTTGTATTAAACGTGCTTGTAGCATATTGATCAACACCGAAAGTGACACATATTTAAGTGGATATAATGACGGCAGTATTAACAGTGCTTAGTAGAATATTAATCCACACTGAAAGTGACAGTTCTGTAAGTGGATTTATTGACGGTTGTATTAAACGTGCTTGTAGAATTTTAATCCACACTGACAGATATTTAAGTGGATTTATTGATGAATGTATTAACAGTGCTTAGTAGAATATTGATCCACACTGAAAGTGACAGATATTTAAGTGGATTTATTGATGAACATATTAACAGTGCTTAGTAGAATATTGATCCACACTGAAAGTGACAGATATTTAAGTGGATATATTGACGGCAGTATTAACAGTGCTTAGTAGAATATTAATCCACACTGAAAGTGACAGTTCTGTAAGTGGATTTATTGACAGTGGTATGAACAGTGCAAGTAGAATATTAACACTGAAAGTGGCAGATATTTAAGTGGATTTATTGACAGTTGTATTAAACATGCTTGTAGAATATTTATCAACACCGAAAGTGACACATATTTAAGTGGATATAATGACGGCAGTATTAACAGTGCTTAGTAGAATATTAATCGACACTGAAAGTGACAGTTCTGTAAGTGGATTTATTGACGGTTGTATTAAACGTGCTTGTAGAATATTAATCCACACTGACAGTGACAGATATTTAAGTGGATTTATTGATGAATGTATTAACAGTGCTTAGTAGAATATTGATCCACACTGAAAGTGACAGATATTTAAGTGGATTTATTGATGAACATATTAACAGTGCTAGTAGAATATTAATCCACACTGAAAGTGACAGATATTTAAGTGGATTTATTGATGAACGTATTAACAGTGCTAGTAGAATATTGATCCACACTGAAAGTGACAGATATTTAAGTGGATTTATTGATGAACGTATTAACAGTGCTAGTAGAATATTGATCCACACTGAAAGTGACAGATATTTAAGTGGATTTATTGATGAACGTATTAACAGTGCTTAGTAGAATATTGATCCACACTGAAGGTGACAGATATTTAAGTGGATTTATTGATGAACGTATTAACAGTGCTTAGTAGAATATTGATCCACACTGAAAGTGACAGATATTTAAGTGGATTTATTGATGAACGTATTAACAGTGCTTAGTAGAATATTAATCCACACTGACAGTGACAGATATTTAAGTGGATTTATTGATGAACATATTAACAGTGCTAGTAGAATATTAATCCACACTGAAAGTGACAGATATTTAAGTGGATTTATTGATGAACGTATTAACAGTGCTAGTAGAATATTAATCCACACTGAAAATGACAGTTCTTTTAGTGGATTTATTGATGAATGTATTAACAGTGCTAGTAGAATATTAATCCACACTGAAAATGACAGATATTTAAGTGGATTTATTGATGAACGTATTAACAGTCCTAGTAGAATATTAATCCACACTGAAAATGACAGTTCTTTTAGTGGATTTATTGATGAATGTATTAACAGTGATAGTAGAATATTAATCCACACTGAAAGTGACAGTTTCGTAACTGGATTTATTGATGAACGTATTAACAGTGCTAGTAGAATATTAATCCACACTGAAAATGACAGTTCTTTTAGTGGATTTATTGATGAATGTATTAACAGTGCTAGTAGAATATAAATCCACACTGAAAGAGACAGATATTTAAGTGGATTTATTGATGAACGTATTAACAGTCCTAGTAGAATATTAATCCACACTGAAAGTGACAGTTCTTTTAGTGGATTTATTGATGAATGTATTAACAGTGATAGTAGAATATTAATCCACACTGAAAGTGACAGTTTCGTAAGTGGATTTATTGATGAACGTATTAACAGTGCTAGTAGAATATTAATCCACACTGAAAATGACAGTTCTTTTAGTGGATTTATTGATGAATGTATTAACAGTGCTAGTAGAATATTAATCCACACTGAAAATGACAGATATTTAAGTGGATTTATTGATGAACGTATTAACAGTGCTAGTAGAATATTAATCCACACTGAAAGTGACAGTTCTTTTAGTGGATTTATTGATGAATGTATTAACAGTGATAGTAGAATATTAATCCACACTGAAAGTGACAGTTTCGTAAGTGGATTTATTGATGGCAGTATGAATTTATCAGGATTAATGACAACGTACAATGATATGTAGTGATTTCTAGTTATTTGATAATGTTCAGAAATGACTGAAAGTGTTGGCTAGGACAGTGTCAGTAGACAAAGGTATAAGACAGGCTATTAACATTCAGGAACATAGTGGGTGCTGCCTTTTTATCTGACAAAGTTTATGTTACAAATTATTCTCTTGCTGTATTGACACAAAATCTATAGTCTACAGTTCCATGCCAACCAACCCACAACTTCTATGGTGTAACTTGCAAACATCTTCACTTTTCAAAGTGAAGGATCCAGGTTCAAATCCTGGTGGAAGTCATAAGTTGGAAAGGACTGTAGTACTATCATTTTTGCTAAAGTTTTTGCTATATTTATTATGTTTAATAGTTAAAACTGTTGGAACATTTTATTTTGTAAATATTGACATAAATTATACACACATCCGTTAACCGGTTGCAAGTAGAACAGTTTGTTGCAGGTAGAACAGTTGTGCGCTTGGTAATTTTTTATCGCACAATATATCATAGAAAGTTATGACTATTAAAGAAACATCAAAAAAGGAGAACATATATTGGTTATCAGTTTAATACTAACATTTATATAGTAAGTTCTACCTTCATCAAAATGTTCTACTGGCAATATTGGTGTGATTAGCAATAAAAGGCCTTTTCCCATCAAAAACAACATATTTTTGCCCAAATTCAACAAAATAATTGCAAATAAGAATGAATTATATAATAAACATAGAATAAATGCCTTCAAATTTTCAGAAAATTGTCACTTAAACAGTTTTTCTATGTAAAAAATTGATTTTAAGCAGTTTTCGCAGTCAAATTTATTTTTTTTATTTGTGGTAGCGCAACCTGGGCTCACAGGCCGAATTTTTGGCGCAGTGGAAGCGTGCTGGGCCCATAACCCAGAGGTCCGAGGATCGAAACCTCGCTCTGCTATGACTTTTTTAATTCGTTATATAAAATATATGGCTAATATTTACAATACTGTAAGAATGGAACACATAAAATATGGTATCATTATTATTTATTAAAGAAATTCATATTATTGTAAAATAATGAAACCCTTGTATTATTTTGAAATTGAATGAAATATGTATAACAAAATAAAAGATAAAACTTTATTATTATCAAAATTACTGAAACATTGTCATATAATAATGAAATCATTTTCATTGATTACATGCAATCTCAAACAGTTTCCACTAATTTTTTCCTTCTTTTTTTTTTGTTTTTATTTCTGATACCTTTCTACTTATCGTCATGCTTTGATAAGATGCATGAGTAAATGTGTATCCTCTTTTTCCAAAATATTTCACTCATGAACAAAAAAGAAACTTAATCGATCCCCTGTGTTTAAGCGGAGACATATAGTGTTATTTTAAAAAGTCAAAATGTCAAATGAGCTACATATTTATTCGGGGGAACGATTTTTAATTCGATATTAACTCGTTTTGCAAGAGATAATCACGTGCATGATTCATGCATATTTTATGAAACCTTTCAGGATAATTTTGAAGACTTTCATGTCAATAAGAAAAAGATTTTTTTTTCAGTTTTCTGTATTTTTTGATACATGTACAGCTAGTATGCCTAGAATTCCGCAAAATTTACGCGAACGTGCTAGCTATTGGCATGCTTAATGCTGCTGAGACGATGAATGCCGTCGCTTTTATTATTGGATGTTCTACTCGTGCTATTCGACACCTTAGGTATCGTTTTCAAGCAACAGGACGTACAGAAGCGTGCCCAAGGTCGCTATATTCGGAACACCCACATGCGCAATCGCTTCCAAACTGCCACAGCTACTGCTGCACACATAACCGTATATTTGACCAAAATGTGCGCAATCGCTTGCGCGAGGGTGAGAAACATATGAGCCGCGTCATGACAAAACTAACATAGTGCGTTTGCGACCAGCATGGGTCCAGACCAGCCTGCGCATCCGCGCAGTCTGATCAGGATCCATGCTGTTCGCTTACAGACCCTATAACAAGTAGAGAAACTGATAGCGAACAGCATGAATCCTGATCAGACTGCTCGGATGCGCAGGCTGGTCTGGATCCATGCTGGTCGCAAACCCACTACGTTGGTTTTGTCGTGACGCGCGGCTCATATATCGTCGACTTTACATAGGTTATGTGTTGAGGCGACGTCGCCGAGTACATCGTGATACTTGGGCACGTACACACCAACACTGGCTTGAACAACAATGGAACAGCGTTCTGTCAGACAAGTACAGGATTTCCATTCATCGAGCTGATGGCAATGTTCGAGTATACTGCAGGAAGAATAAACGTTTTGCCGACTGCTGCGTTCTTTACGAGATCGTTTTAGCAGTAGGGGTTCTGGCTTGGTCTCGGCAGGCATTGTACATGGCTTTCGCACTAATCTCGTCGTTACCGAAGGGACTTTGAATGTCCAACGCTGCCGAGATGTAATTTTTGCGAGCCATATTATCCCACTCTTTCAAAATAATGTCAATATTACACTTTTTCAACTGTGAATTTCTTCATTGCATTTATTAATGACTGACCTGCCAAAGCCCTTATCTAAATCCCGTTGAACACCTTTGGTATATCGCTCTGCTAAGTCCTTTTTTAAATTCATATTAAAACGGAATAATTATCAAACAATTATTCCAGGACATACATGTAGACTAAAACTTTCATCGCTTGAAAATTTGAAGAAATAATGATTTAAATAAATGCTACATTAATATCTTGATGATAGAAAACCTGTTTAAAATACATGTATAGCATTTCAGGATAACTATTATATGATATTAAACTTTTATAATAGTGTAGTACAACCGTGTTTAAAAGCGCACATAGTACCACAGAAATGAGTAATGTTTCTTTTCAGATAGGAGAAAACATGCGTCACAATAGAAGCTTAATTATCATTAGGATTTAGTAGCGCTGAATGTGAAATATTTTTTCATAAATGTAACAAAATGTTCTTTCGACTTCCATACCAAAATACTAACTCACTTAGTAAATTGAGTTAAAGACGACAGTACGAAATGAAAATATCTTTTGAAAGGCTTAATCGGCTTTTAATTACAATTTCTCTTTGAGTGATCTGTCTTTAAATGGTTTCTTTTCCATTCCGGATTAGATATACCTCATTATTTTTTTTTATAAATTAAACAAGGCAGTGATAATAAATTAGTTTTGTACATGTACATTGTAAAATCGTTGATTATTTTTTCTTGAACACATAAATTTGCATATGGCAACTTAAACGGGGAAACGAACCTTGAAAGGACCGTAAGAAAAACGTTATTGTCGTTTACATACACTTCAGTTCATGCAACCAAGTGCCACAGTAGAAGCGAGCACAGATTGTTTTTATTTGTTTGGGTCGTCAGACCAAACAAATAATGGTAGCGAAATTTCAGACCCTGATGCTGTTAATTGCAAATGCCGAAAGAAGTCCGCTTTTTTGAAGCGGTTACTTCCCTTTATATGTAAACTAACGCCGAAAAATTCAGATTCACTGCGTAGATTGTCAAATGACAGGCGCATTAATTTTCCAGCAAAATAGTTCCCGAATGGTCGAGGATTTCTAATATTGTTTTATTCTTTATATATTTATTCTTCTGTGTTAAACAACATGTTTAGCGTCGAAATAATATGTGTAACAAATCCTAATTCAGATGATATGGTTTTCTTCAGGGCGTTAACATATAACTTCACCGTGGCCGAGGGGCTTGCATGTTCGCTTAGGAATAGAGGTCTGGAGTTCAAATTCCAGTTAAGGCAACTCAATTGTTTTTTTAAATTGTTTAAGTAAAAAAAACAACATTGAATTGAATAGCAGTGTTGCAATAAGTCTTACAGCCAATTTACTACAGTTCTGTGCTTTGATTTTGTTATTCATTTAATAATTTTAAATAATAAACCCGTCTTAGAGCACGTATTTTATATACTTTTAACTAAATTACAAGCTTCTTTAGCTCAGGACTATGGTCGCCGTCTACTTTGAGCCCATCACACGACTTTAGCCCCGTATCTATTACCTTCTTAAGATGTTCTTAGCTCACATAATTTTTATAACTTTCTTTTGGCACGTATCGCTTCTCTTCTAATCTCCTGCATTTACAACCATTCTATTCATTAAGAAACCCACTAATTTAGATCAGGTTTGTTTCACATAACATGGCTAAAAGATATTTCCAAATATAAAGGTTTTTGGCTCCCAGAATTTATTATCCTTTTTGCATAATTGCATTCTCATTTATAAACCTGGAGAAAATAATGAACTAAAGCCTTTTTTGTATTTTAACAATTTATTTTCATTTTTTTCTCTAATATTGTATAAAACCAATACCATTTTTTGCAGGACTTTATTTCACAATAAAATACATTCACCTACAGAAAAGAAAGACATTGAACTGAATAATTTCATTAGTTCAATATTTGAAAACACTTATTTTGGACAGATAATAACTCTTGCTAATAAATACATATATAAATATATCTGTTACATCAAGTTTGAGATAACAATCTTGTCTGTCTAAACTATTAATGACCATTCATCATTTTTAATCTGTCAAATTGGCAAATTCCTTCAGGCATTAAAATACATTTAATGACAGGAAAAACAATGGTTATAAAACAGGGTTGTCAAAAATTGAGATTTTGAATACAACATTCTACTTCCTTGATTGCTGAAGGCTAATTCTACATAGATCCTTTTCCTCTAAACTTTGAACTTTGGGGTAAACTGATGCAGTGAACAATGCTAGATTGTGTAACATATGTCACTCATAATGATACAGCTCAAAAGATAAAAATCTTGATCATGCATCAATTTAGGTGACTAGGTTTTGTGTTGTGATAGTGGAACACTAGGTTAATCTTTCCCTCTAAAAAATATTTTCCTCACACTTTTGATTTTATTAATGTGCACACCTGTCACAATTATTTTAAAAATATAAATAGCACAAATAACGGAATGAAAAATAATTTAAAATTTAAACATTTTAAATTTTATGAAGATCTGCTTTGAAATGGAAATCATGTCGAAAGAAGTCCAATTTCAGTTTTTAACATACAAATACATTTTACAACACAATTGCTGACCGTGTCAATTTTATTCAACATATTTGGCAAAGAGCTGTCTTCCATGATAAATTTATATACTTATATATACAAAATAACTTCTAATTCTCAAATGTATAAACAAATATGTGCACATGACTGAGAAATGGTGACAATAACCGACCTTTCATCTTCTCAATCAAACACCAGCAATTTCATCACACCATGATATGCTTAAAAGTTGATGCAAATTTCAGTTAGAAAATGTAAAACCTATTCTATTTTAATTTCTTCTAATTTATGAAAATATATGGAGCGGAAATGTCATGATATAATCTTTATATATATGTTATTTTTCCATTGTTTTTTATAATGCCTTTTATTAGTATGACTGAGATTATCAATGAAAATAATAACAGAATTTTAAAATTCATTAGAAAATACACAAGTAAACATGTAATGAAAATACTGGTGTTGATTTAATAACATCAACAGATATCATGCATTTTCCTTGCTGATAAATTTTTCTCAGCAAATAGTCAAGCATTTTCAAGGTAGAAACATACTCTATTAATACACAAACGTCAACATTTGCTGCACTATTACCACATCTATACTGCACACATTTCATACAAATGTCATGTTTAAAAGAGAAGTGTACTCATTCCACCCATTTCACTCTGTTCTTTCACAAAGATTTCAAAGTACTGATAGATAATTGTAACGGCCAATAAAATACCTGTTCCACTGCCAATAGCACCTGTAAAGTAAAGAAAAACATGGGCTATTAATCATTTACTCCCGAAAACTCAGTAACTGAAATGAACATTCCCAGGTTTCAATAGAATTTCATGGTATGTCAGTTTCATTACACATACAATAGGCAGCCGAAAGAGGCTCTTGCAAGCCAGCCAGGGTCTATAATGGTGGCTTAGAGCAGTGAATCAATCTATCATTGTTACAAGGGTAAACATTTTCTTCCACTAACCAAGCAAATTTTCAATACCACATTTTTGTCTCAGTTAACGCTTATTTGACAATGTTACAGGTTTCAACATTGTTAACAACAATTCTTTTAAATATATTTTGTTTCTTTTTCAGAATAATTCAATAATCATAAATAATGCCCGCTATAGCTTCAAAAGCCACTAATGAAAAAGAAATCAAAACTAAGACATCATCATGAGAAGAAAATCTTGGAAGAACATTCCCTAGATGGTCACATATTTTCCAGTTCTCTTACATTTCCACACAGAAATAAAGATATCTCTTAACTTTTATCATAAGAACTTCAAATTTATACCCAGATCAGATAAGTATTGAGTGAAATGTACATACCCATAAAGTCTGCCATGACAGAAAGAGCTCCTATACAAAGACCACCGAAAGCTGCAGCAGTAGGGATGTAACGATTCAACTCCTTAATCATAGATGTTTCCCTGTGACCTCTCATTACCATCTGCTGATCTTTGAGCTGCTTAGCTACCTGTAAAACACCGCACATACCATGAATTATTCCAGAAGTTCATTACCATAAAATTTTCCTTCCCTATTTCTAATGTTATGAATGTACCGCGAGCCCTTAAACAGGTAATCTCAATAGACTATGCTTTAGTTACAATATACAGGATGACTTCCATTTGTTTTTAAAATAATACAAAGACTAAAATGATGCTTATATAAGTACCATACAGCACTTTAAACTTACTGAACTAGATGGCTTTAAACATAACAGTGTATGAACCCGAAGAATTTATATCTACACAATATAGCATACATTAAATAAATACACTTCAATCACCAATCATACAAAATATTCTTTACCACAATTTAAAAAGAAATTAGTGACTGAATTCTTGAAAAAATTTTTTTAAAGATATTTGATGAACAAATTAAATAGACTTACATCTTTAGCACTAGATCCTGACACTTCAATCCAGGTCTTTGAGAAGAATGCACATGATCCCAACATAAATATAATATAAAGAGCAGCATGTATAGGATCTTCGGCTACATGACCTAATGTTTCTGGAGGTGACAAATAGTAACAAAGACCACCAACTGGGTAAGATCTAGCAGGTCCGCCGCTGTTTACATCCTAAGTGAAAACAAACAATACTATGTTAAACGATCAATAAAATATTAATTTTGCGCATTTAAATTTTTTTATCAGCTCCAAATGGTTTTTGTTTTTTTGTTTGTTTCATTTTACACCTTTTCCCAACAATATTTCAGTCATATAGGCGGGTAGTTTCCTAACTATCGATCCTGGAGAGTTGCACCAGTACTAGACTACCTTCCTCCGTGCTAAACTACCGAAGATTCTCCAGGGGATCAAACCCACCCCAGAGAGGTAACTGGATAAGAAGTCATCGACTCTAACCCCTCAACCACAGAGGCGGTCAATATAGAAAATAACCAAAGCACTGGCGAATTTCATCCAAAAAAAATGTTTAACCACAAAGAAATAGTTGCTAATGAACCAATGAAAATTCTGATCATTCAAAATGGCTGAAAAAATACTTTGTATAACGTTGTAAGGATCAAATTTACAATATTGGTATTAAAACTTTTGAATACTTACAGCCCAAACTCCTAACAAGTTTATAAAGAAATTTCCATGGAATTTTGTTGCTAACATCTGAAATGAGAAAAGACATCTTTATTACTCAACACAAGGATATCAAAAGAATTTTTTTCTTTTCTTTTTTTTTTATTTACCAACTAAATTATAAAACTTAACTAAGAAGGAAGTCAAATACCGCTTAAAGTATTACAGGAAGTTAAGTACTACTTAAAAGGGAAAAGTTTACTTGCTTAATTCTAAAAGACTAGTCTAAAATATAGCTTTACTATTAAGTGTCCTTCAGAAATTCATACAGGATTTAAGTAGAATTTGACCTTTTACATACCTGTGAAATTACGTATAAGTTTGAGACAAGTGCACTCTGTAGAATAATTGGTATGTTTGATGTATAGAACAATTTGATTGGGTAAGAGCTGTACTGTCCACGATAACGGGCTGACTTGATTGGCAGATCCACACGGAATCCCTGTAGAGAGAAAAATATAATGGTTATTTATGATGAGATTTTTTCTAGTTAAGTGTGATTAAGGCCTTGTCCCCCAGACAAATTTAACAACCTTTAATAAAGCATTATATTTCAGATATGAATGCCCACTTTTCTATAACAAAATCAACTTTACAAGACTACATCAAAATTTGCGACTGAATTTAAGACATTACCTGGAAGTATATGACCACACCAAACACGAACACTGTTGCCAAAAGGTTCATCAAGTTTGGAAGGTTCTGTCTGTAGAAGGCCTCTCTTAAACCTCGTACCTTGTCTTGTTTGGTAGCCAATAGGTGGAACAGTGCTATAATTGCTCCTTCAAACTCCGTTCCTGAAAATGGAGCATTATCACAATTTATCTCATTTATTATCATAGGACTTAGAGAACAAATATAGCTATTATTTTCCGGAAAAACATTTGACAAGAAATACTTAGTACAATATGCATCATTTAACAACTTATCTTTTCCCAAATTACAACAACTTTTTGCTGAATTGCTACATTTGATTCATGTGATAACATATGTTGTCGGAAGAACAGCATGCTCAACAATTCTCAGTGCTTGATAGTAAAACAAGAGCATTGATACTGCAGATTTTTCCAAGTTCAAACAGGGTCATAATTCTGTCAAAATCCATGTAAAGAGTTATGGGCCTTGGACAATCAGTGTTCGAAATTAGCAGTAGTCCTATAGCCCCTGACTACTAAATTTCTCCTCGGGCTACCAACTTTTCAAAGTAACAAGCCCGGCCAGGCTACTGTAATTTCAGAGACAATATAAATATTTGTTTTGAACAAATGAATTGTGCTAGTGAAATGTCTTTTGGGCTAGTGAATATTACAATCTGGTAGTCCGACTAGACTAGTGGTTTCAAATCTGAATTTCTTACACTGGACAATGACCTATTATGCTCTCAAACAAGTATGTGAAGTTTCAACCCATTGCCTTCAGTAATTCTGGAGATACCAACTTGCACGGAAAACTTAATCAAAATACCAAGCCAATGCCAACACTTAAATGAATACAAAAGCTCTGCCTATTCTTCGATTAGTCGGGCTAGAAATGAGATATTTCAAACAAACAAACAAAGTGTAAAACAAACCTCTTCCTGTATTAACTGTTGCAGGACTGAAAGCCTTCCATACAATTGTCTCACAGATATTAGTAGCTATGAACAGTGAGATACCAGATCCTAGACCATAGCCCTTCTGTAACAACTCATCTAGCAACAACACTATCAACCCTGCCACAAACAACTGAAACAGGAAAATACTAGAAATGTGTCCATAGGACACTGATGCCCCCACACGCCACTGTTCTGTCAATCTTATGACTCTAGGTCAAATATTTTTTGGACTACATGTGCCACAAGTTGAAACTAAAAATCAACAAAGAGCCATAATTCTGTTAAATTTGTTCGCAGCAAAAATTCCTTCCTTTACTACCATCTACACATTAAGGTTGTTAATCCCTGGAAGTTTAAGCAAAATCTGCCATCCGGTTTAAGAGGAGTTGCGTTCACAAAATTTCTACATAGTAATTAATGAAAAAATCAACAAAGGGCCATAATTCTGTTAAATTTGGTTGCAGCAAAAATTCCTTCCTTTACTGCCATCAACACATTAAGGTTGTTCATCCCTGGAAGTTTAAGCAAAATCTGCCATCCGATTTAAGAGGAGTTGCATTCACAAAATTTCTACATAGTATATAGTGAAAAAATCAACAAAGGGCCATAATTCTTTTAAATTTGGTTGCAGCAAAAATTCCTTCCTTTACTACCATCTACACATTAAGGTTGTTCATCCCTGTAAGTTTAAGCAAAATCTGCCATCCGGTTTAAGAGGAGTTGCGTTCACAAAATTTCTACATAGTAGCTAGTGAAAAAATCAACAAAGGGCCATAATTCTCTTAAATGTGGTCGCAGCAAAAATTCCTTCCTTTACTACCATCTACACATTAAGGTTGTTTATCCCTGTAAGTTTAAGCAAAATCTGACATCCGGTTTAAGAGGAGTTGCGTTCACAAGATTTCGGGACGTACGGACGGACGGACTGACGGACGGACAGACTGACGGACGGACGGACGGACAAGTGCAACGCTATATGCTCCCACATTGTGGGGGCATAAAAATTTAATTAAAGTATGAAAAACCAGAAATTAATTAAAGTATGAAAAACCAGAAACTTCAACAAAGTTGATGTGATTTAGTGACTGAAAACAGATGACTTTAATTAACAGGAGCGTTACTTAAATTTTTACAATAGAGTGAAAACAATAACTTTGTCAGACAGAGTTTTATCTATAGTATTTTTTTTCTTGAGTTTGGAAGACACTGTTATCAATTTAATCTTGTCCCGCTAAATAAGTGATATATTAGTATATAAATACAATATAAAGCAGGGGATACTGATGACACTCATACAACTTAGAAATTTTGGAATGTTGATAAAATTATTCAAAGGTAGCAGATGCCTAAATACCTTCGAAGCATTCTATAAGCATAATACATTTCATAATTTTTTTATCATTAAATTTTCAGTTCTACCGTTTACTAAAATCAAAACCATAGAAGTTAATGGATGTTATAATCTTAATTTTAAAGCTGTAGCCACAAGTAAGAATGTAGCAAAAATCTACCTGAATGATGATGAGAAGACAGACACCTGCTCCAACCTCAGCTGGATCTCCGTACATGCCAGTCATCACATACACAATAGCTTGACCAACAGTGATCACCATACCAAACACTGGAAACAATATAACAGGTGCCCGATTAATTTATTTTACAAATTACATTAATTCCTTTTTTTTTAAGCATTTCATAGTTTAAACTAGCATTCATAATTTACATTGAAAAAGAAAGAAGAAAGACGAGAGACTGCAACCATACCTTATTATAAAAGCTTGTAATGAATGCTTAGAACTTTCACCAGGCCACTTGCAATCAGTGAAACAGCGCTATCCCTTTATCTCAATGCTATAAATTTTGTACAAGAAATAGTTTTTCAACATATAAACTTACATTTCTGAGCTCCATTGAACAAAGCTCTGTCTTTTGGGGTATCACCAACTTCAATAATTTTAGCACCAGCAAGTAACTGCATTATAAGCCCTGATGTAACAATGGGTGAGATGCCAAGCTCCATTAAAGTTCCTAGAAACAGAAAGAATAATGGTTTCAAAATGCTGTAGCAATTCATTGACAAAGTAAATAAAAAAATTATTTATCATAATAAACAAGCCATTATTTTCTGTACTTATCTATTATCTAACTTTATTTGACGATCATTTAGTTTCATTGAACAATAAAATTTAAGTTATGCTGAACTTGTGAAAATTATTTAAGAAACAATCCGGATATAAATTTTTTTTAAACAAAACACCTTTTGAAATTGTCTCACTTTGTAAGTCATTATGCAACTTAAAATTCATAAAAAATGAATTGAAGCATATTTTACCTCTACTTGATGCAAGGATAACTCTCTGCCAGTAGAAGGGATCTGCTGAATCCGAGGACATAATACCAAATAATGGTATCTGACAACACACTAGGAAAATAAATAACGTTATTGCTGTCCATAATACTTTCTCTCTGAATTGGATCTGAAATAAAAACCATGTATTACATTGCTTGGAATATTCATTTTGCATAACTTTTTACTCCAAAAACTTTTTCAAGGACCAGTAAAATGAGAAATTAACTTGCAAAAATTGAACTGACAGTTTAAACTGAATTTCAGCTTGCACCTTCGATAACTTCTTTGCAAAACCTGGAAATATCATGGATTGTCATGTCAATAACATACTGTGAAAGTTTTGTCATCTGCAGTTTTATCATTTACAATGTTAATAAACATTGTTTTAGTTGCTTTCTCAACAAAAGAAGCCCCAGAGATTTTACTAAATACTTGAAGAAGTTAAAGACTGCTTGATTTGACAGGGTAGCCTGCTATCAAATATGTTGTAACATTATTTTTATAAGTAGACAGCAGCAAAACACAGTTTACACATAGTTGTCAATAATTAAACATGCATCACATTACAGGTGCTCTTCACTTTCTACAGTAAATAGATATAACATTGTAACAGTTTAATTGTAATTTACTAATTAGTAAATTACTTATGGCAGGCTTCATAATTTTTTAATTATAACATAAATATAACAAAATAGCATTATTACCAAATCTTCCATGTGAGCATATTTTAATCCAGATAAACTTTCTACTTTAATAAATTAATGTCATTGCTCATACAGCAGAGAAAGTTCCCTGTTTAGGCATAATAATTAATGATAATACAAATTCATTCTAAATACCAAGGAAATAATAAGTCCATTAACATTTCCATATCGTTCAATTTATATTAAATGTTAAATGAAAAAAATGTATTTCATCATTAATGTAGAATTTGAGAGAGAAATATGATAAAAGTTGGGAGTATCATGCAAGAATTGATAAATAACTTCATGATAGTATGGTATACCTTTCTATCTGGTTTAGCGATTTCTGGCAGAACTGCACAGAATGGCTTGATAAACTCTAAAAATTTGACTGAAATATAAAAGGAATAAAACTTTACAATTTGAATTTAAAATAATGTCAAACCTGTCACAGAAAAATGATGCATGCAATCTCTGGTGAATATATTTTTGAACAGTATTTCGCAGTAAAGAGGAACATACAAATAAACAAAAGCTGTCAATGAATTTAAAAAAAATGACCTGTTTTAACAGATTTTAAATTACAACACTACTTCCTCATACGAATGATTCTAGAATAAATCCAAATTTCTCTTACAATATGTTTTCAAATCAGTATTACACAATAATAAAAGTAATTTTTTGCTACTGTATACTTTACAGAGTGTTTTATATGTAACTTGACTTGTCAGACATTTTCCTTGACCAGACATTTTATGTCAAATTAAGGTTGGTGTTTCAAAAAAAGTTGCGAATGTCTACCAAGCAATTAATACAACATTCGCAAATCAAATTGTTAACATTAAACATCTTACTTACTTAGATCTAATGTAAAGTATAATATACTAACTACACCCCACCCATTTGTTTAACAAAGTAAATGAGCCGACGTGGCAGCCACTGCATCTGAAACTATCAGTGAAATATTACATTGGAAAAATCTGAGAAACAAATAATTGCAGAATATGATAAAATACTTACTTCCCATCTTATCCAAAGGGGTTTACCCCTTATTCAGTCTAATTTAAAATCACAATTCAGCCAAACTCTTGCCGTGATATTCACGCCGGCTGTACAGACGGAAGTGTCTTTTGAAGGAAAGATCACGTGACCAAATACGTGTATGCCAAATTCTAAAATATTTTTCAAGATATTTACTTTTTTGTACAAAACTTATTCAAAGGATCATTCCATAAAAAGGTGTCGCATGCGATGCCAAAAATTTAAAAATCTATATTTTTTACAAAAAAATAAATAACCGTCGTGGCAGAGAGGTTTTTACAAAATGCACAATCTAATATTAACGAAATTTTATATTGTATGATTTGTCCCCCTTTACAACCTGGGGCTATATACGATGACATGCAGGAACAGTCGTAAAAAGATGAAATAGCTGATATATTATTTCTAGACCAGTTTGATGTTTCACACATTGTACAATGGAAGGCATTCAATTAAATATTATCATATCAGGGTTACGCTTAGACTATTGTCTTCCGCTATTAAAGAATGTATATAGATCTACATCTACTCGAGATCTGGGACATACGTTATCGTATGTTATCGTATGTCCCAGATCTACTTTGAATTGTAAAATAACTTTCATTCTTCTAAGTTATCAAAAACGCATACGAACAAGGAAAGTAAAAGATCATCTTCAGACAAAAAATATATTTTAAGGAATTACTAAATAGAGCTATCATGATTGTAAAAAAAAAAAATGTTCAATAAAAAAAGAAGAAAAAAGAAAAAAACTTTTATATTTGATATGCTATAATGCAACTCGCCGCCACGGATTTATATTACATATACATACAATATAAATCCGTGTCACCGCTCATTTTCAGCACTGATCTACATGTGATGTACATAAGGCTCGGGATCGGCATCGGAAAATCATTTTTGGACGCCGGGCCTTTGAGAATTTGTGATTTTCTTCTCTATCACAAATTAAAAGACTTGACAGACGATATGGTCAACATTATAAAGTCAAATTACAATTTAGGCTAACCGCTAACTGATCAAGTCTCGACGATCTTTTTCCTGTAGGATGATTCTGCGCTCTGATGGAAGGGCTAGGCGAAATAATTAGAATCCGTAAAGAAAATCCAAGACGGCAAAATTTTAAATGTTGCAGACTCGATTTTAGCTAAGCCTTTCTTGCTTTTAGAAACTAGCAGCAATATTTCATATTTGGTCTCTTTATTTGTTAACAAAATGGATGTATAGATCTCTCTCTATATATATCTATTTGTGAGTTTTTTTTAGCATTTTCATTATTATACTGTAGCAGAACAACCCAAGGTTTTATCACCAAACGTGGTAACATATGTTTAGCTTTACACATAGCGTATGCCCAGGAATATATTTTTTTTTTATCGAAATTTATCGAAACTTCGATATTGCCAAGTATGTGTTTGTAGGCTTAATTCTCAACGTTGGAAAAATGACCAGGGTGAGTTCGAAAAGAAAAAGTATTTTTAAGAAAGAGAAAAGTAGAGCTACTATATTAATTCTGTATTATAAGTCTCTGATTTTAAATTTAAAACAAATGAACTGACTTTGGGTCCTGGATACAGGTCTGCAAAATGCGTCTACGACATTCCAAGCGCATTTTAATTCCCCAGTCGGTAAGGGACTCCTATTAGATAACGCGTTTGATCCTTAAAAATGTGCCCAGGCACGCCCCTGCATAGACCGCTTTGCTATTTTGTAATTGAATATGTGCCATATCAAAATCAAATTACGCGCGCTTTTTTCAGGTCAAGAAGAGAACTATATGCGCATGCGCAATCAGTACAAAGAAGGTACACGACAAATATGGCTGCATTTTGTCAACACTGTGTTATCAGTTCGATTGTATAGCATACAGAATCATTCGAGAAGTGGTATGTAAAGGTTTTTGATAACTATCATCTATCAATTGGTTATGAACGAGTTAACAGCAATTCCTACTTTCGTTTACAATTATGGGACTTCACTGCGCAAGTCTTCGGCAGGTGGGACGCGCGCAGGTCCAAGCGCAGTCGCAAAACCTGGGATGTTTGTTGCGCATGTATGCGATGGTAGCAGCGACTGTTAATTACGCGCGCAAATGTCAAATTTTGTAGAAAATATTAATAATAATTAGAGAAGAAATGAAAAGCATTAAATTGTTTACCAAATGTAATTTTTTCAATTTATTCAAAATGGCGTTTACCATAAATTGAGTTACGTCCCTTGGTTGTTGGGTTTTGTAGTAATAATGTAGATGGCATTCAATTTCTTGCACAGGAGCTTAATTAATTCTATCAATAATCGCTCTTAAGTCCGATTTAAAAAAAAAAACAAAAAACATACATAGCCTATATAAAATAATATATATATATGTTTAAGGTATATTTTTTTCTAAATCGGACCTTACAATGACCTTAGAGCGATTATTGATAGAATTTCAAGCTCCTGTGATTTCTTGCCCACTGAGACTTCATTGATTAAGCAATCATATTATAGTCCATAGAGTGTTTTAATGTGTTGACCTGATTTAACTACTCCAATAGCAATAGACATTGAAAGATTTCAGATGTGGGCCCAGGAATTTTTACCATACTGGTAGAGGGTAACAAAATTTTGACTAGGGGCAATGCATTCCTTTTACTCTTTTTTCCCCCGAGTAGGTTAAAAAAAGCTTTTTAGAATTTTTTTGTGTTGCCTACACAGAGCAGTGGCGACATATAGAGATCACTTTCTCTGTTGACAGTCGACTGTCTGTCCGTCCATCACAAAACTTGACTACTCCTTAGAAACTACTGGTGCAATTTCTTCTAAACTGTATTTAAGTTGTGTGCAAATTGTTAGCATTTACTGGTTCAATGATTTTTGTCAGAGTTATGGCCCTTTAATGATTTTTATTTTCAAAATTTGTCTGGACTTCTCCTCTTATACTACGAAGCCATTTCATTGTAACTTTACAGGATTGATTGCGCATATATATCATGGGTTTTCTGCTTGAAAGATTTTTGGCAGATTTATGGCCCTAGAATAAAAAGGTGTTAATAAAGTTTGTCCGGACTACTCCTCTTATACCACCACTGCAATTTAAATGAAACTTAACAGGATTGATCAGTAGCTAAAGTACTTGCACATATTACACGGGTTTTCCAGTTGAAGGATTTTCAGCTGAGGTATGGGCTTTGAATAAAAAATGTGTTTTGCCCTGTTTATGATTTTTGGGTCTCCAGCTATACAGTAGCAGACTAACTGCAACATTGGCTATCATGAGGCGACACATGTCATCACTGATGGCCCTTGTACTATTAATACAATTTCATTGAGACTTTACATGATTGAGGTGTAGCTCAAGTACTTGGGTATATTACACAGGTCTTCTGGTTGAATGATTTTTTTGCAGAGTTATGGGCCTTCAACATAAGGTATTAATAAAGTTTGTCTGGACTACTCCTCATATACCACTTACTGGTATGCAACTTGAATGAAACTTTACAGGATTGATCGGTAGCTCAAGTACTTGCGCATATTACATGGGTTTTCCAGTTGAATGATTTTAGCTGAGTTATGGCCCTTGAATATGAAACATGTTCTGCCGTGTTAATAATTTTTGTGTCTCCTGCCACACAGTAGCTGCATAACGCAATTGGCTATCATGAGACGACACATGTGATCACTGATTGCTCTTGTGCTAAATAATGGTAAGTTCAAATATGCAAATGACAGAGGGTTTTCCACATATATATTAGCCAAATCACTGAGTGTAATAACTCCCTAAATCCCCTTTCCTCTGGATCCACACATGTATGTTCTGATAGCAGATTGGAAGCACGCATACCATATCACAGCATATGTTATCAAGTCTCTCTTCCTATTTTGGAAGAAAAGTACCTGCATGTGCATGAGGGGGAATTTTTGCATATACTTTTTAGGGCTGTCATTGATGGAAAATTTTGTATTGATATACCAAGAGACAAATATCGACGATACATCGATATATTGACTTTGACAGTCAGATACAATAAAAAACATGTATATATGTGATCATGGTGTTATGCATGCTTCTATTACACATTACAAATACTACAAACTAACAGAAAGTTTTTTTTCCCTGTTATTCTTGTCACTGACATTTAAAAACGAAGTTTAAAGTTCAAGTTAACATATTAAACTAGAAAAAAGTGACTTCTCTTATAAGCCAAAATAGAGAGGTATATTATCTAACAGAAATAAAAAAATTATTAGCTTGTATCTATATGTGAAAGTGTGTATCAATATTGTATCAGATGATGAATATCAATGATATATCAATATCACGATAATCAATGACAGCCCTAATACTTTTCCCTTTTAAGGGGCATTTCAGGCAATTTTTGAAGTAGTGACAATACTCGAGTTTTAATAAGTAAATATTTAAGCAAATTTCAATAAGATGTTGTTAGGGGTTTTCTGCTATTCATAGAATAGACTATAGAGCTGTTGTGTAATTGTCATCCTGGGTACTACTTGTAGCCCCACCCCCACCCATTTACCTTGTTGCCCCACCCCCACCCATTTACCTTGTTGTACTTTATATATCCTGACACTCTAGAGAACTACTTTATGGCACCTAGAAATACTTTTGGGTTCCTGATCATACTCAAAAACTCCTAGACATTTCCCCCAGCTTTTTTATAATAACATCAAATATGCATAGCAGTATAAATAAATTATTTTTCTGCAAATATAAGCAATTTATATAAAGATTCAAGCTATAATCATACTATCAACTATTTTTCGCATTTTGCATATTTTTTGTGATATTGTAAAACTGAAAGAAGATAATTAAACCAGGTGCTGAATCTGAACAACAACCCACCAGGGCCTTGATCTGACAACTTTTGAAGCCAAAATTTGACCCAATTCCCCTCCCAATGAATTATTTGTTTCCCATATTTCCCCATTCCCCAATCGTTTTTCAAGATAATATCTGACTAAAGCAGAAGATGATTAATACCACCATTTTACATTTTGCAAAATAAAATATGTAAGTAGTATTTTTGTTGCCTGACATTCACAAAATTTCTCTTTTGCTTCAAAACAATGCAAATTCCCCTACCTAAAAACCATTGCCCCAGTCTCCTGTAAAGCAATTTGTATTCCAATTGTATTGCCCAATAGGGAGGTGAAAAGAAATGATGGCAGCATGGCTGAGAGGTTTATAACGCGTTTGACTAGTAATCTTAAGGATTCCTGTCCGCATGGGTTCAAACCCTGTCAGGGGCAAGCCGTTGTTTCCTTGAGCAAGAAACTTGTACATTCATTGCTTAGTACTGGTTGGTTCCAGGAGCGGATTCGAGAGTGTTTCAATAAGCTTATAGCTTCCAACACAATCGAAATTAAAATAAATGCAGCCTGAAATGCAGTCCTGATAGAGAAAGTTGGTCATTTTTTACGTCAATTTTTTTGCACATTTAAATTTAGGTGGCCAATGAGTACTTTTGAAATGGGTGGGTAGACTTGGTACTGCCTAGTATACTAAAAGACATATAAAATGAAAGTTTTTTGTACAGAGAAAGTTTGAATATTTGAGAGATTTTAACATTTATTTTCATTTCAAGGTTCAATTTCTAATGTTATTTCTGTGAGTTTTGCACCCTCTCTAGCAAATTTCATTTAAAATCATTGTCAATGTATAGAAATAATCGGAAAAAAACAAGAATTATCATAACTTTTGCCGTATAGTTTGTCATAAAGTTTTGCCAGACTTGCTGTCTAATGTTTCATGCATTATATCTTATGGTATTACAAAAAGCTTATTTCTTGTTTATTTCATAAGGGGAATTAAAGAAACCATGGCATTTACCAGCTTAGCCTCTGTATATTAGATCAGATTTTGGATGCACTAATGATTATCATAAAGTAAAACTTTATGTTTGGATGTCAAGTGTGTGGTATACCAATATGCATGTTAAACATTTTACAATCAGTATAATTGTAGTGTGTCACCTCAAGCTTTTCTTTGTGAATTATATCATCTTTATAGAATAACATAACTATTTTTCTTTTCTGTAGAAATCCTTTGATTGTTGATGAATTACATTGATTTATATTACTATATGCTATAATCATTTGTGATATAATAATTTTTTAAGATGAGAACAAAGACATTATGTCATATATCTGAATATCATCAGTATACACTATAGATTAATGTCTCGATTAAAATATCTGATTTTTCCCTCAATATATTCACAGATTATATGAGGGATAGAAGATGGATACTACCGTACCTGTAACTGTGAATTCTGCTCATGAGATGATGAGTGACCTGAGTGAGCCTAGTTCTCCAGAAAGTGTGATGTATGATACATCAGAGCTCCTCGGCAATGTCAGTGATGATGTAACCAATCAACTGGCTGCTTCAGGTATTTAACATGTTTGTTTTTTTTAAACAAAGAATACAAAGCAAGTATTGCCCATCATATAATACATAGCAAGCATTGTAATTGCATTTCGGTAATGGCTCATTATACAAGGCAAGTATTGCAATTACATTTTGGTATTCGCTCATCGTAGAATAAAAAGCACGAATTGCAATTACATTTTGGTATTCGCCCATCATAGAATATAAAACACAAATTGCAATTACATTTTGGTATTCGCTCATCATAGAATATAAAACACGAATTGCAATTACATTTTGGTATTGGCTCATTGTACAAGGCAAGTATTGCAATTACATTTTCATTTGGTATTCACCCATCATAGAATACATAAAGCAAGCATTGCAATTGCAGTTTAGTATTTATAGTCATCTTAGAATAATTGCATTTGGTATTCGGTCATCATAGAATTCAAAGTTAGTATTGCAATTGCAGTTTGGTATTGGCTCATCAAATAATTCAAAGCAAGTATTGCAATTGCAGTTTGATATTTGCTCAGCTTAGAATAAAAAGCAAGTACATGAAGTACTGCAATTGCATTTTGGTATATAAGCTCATCATAGAATAAAAAGCAAGTTATTGCATTTTTTGTATTCGTTCATCATTCATGACTTAAGAGTGCTGAAAAATAATAAGCAAATAAGCATGTTTTTTCTTACGGACTGTCTCCATTAGGAATGTTAGTATCAAACGGGCCTTTCATCCATGTACTGAGAGTGATCCTGTATGGTGTACCAAGTTCTAATATTTCTATATATTGTCAGTTTGTGTCCTCTTATTTTTAAGTAAATATTCTCAAATAGTTGTTTGATACTACATTAAACTGTATTACACAAACAGAAATTTTAATGCCTTTTTTCTCAAAAATAACATGGAAAGTATTATATTTACATATTATGCAGAATTTGTAGTTTTCATAATTTAGATTATCCAAATTAAGACAATTTACAATGCATATTATTGAGTAATACTGTCACTATGAGTAAAGTGGTGTACCAAAAATGACAAGAAAATACTTGACTAATCATAGTCAATTTCAGTTGATAAAGAATCTCTGATACTTCAGAAATAGACATGAAGGTTACCAAACAAAAATAAAGATATAGATAAAAATCAGAACTACACTTTCAATAGTTTATATAGACATGTGTTTGGAAAACCATAATTTGTTTTTATGTTTTTTATGCTTTTCATTTTAAGAACATTATCTAATAGTAACCCACAATTGTTTAAATCCAGGGCCAGTAGGTGTTGCCGCAGCCGCTGCAGTATTATCAACTAAAAAAAGAAAACATCCCCATCATTTTGAGACCAACCCTGCCCGCAGAAAAAGGCAGCAAACAAGATTATTGAGGTAAAGTTTAATATATGTATGTAATAAATGTTAAGAACTGAAAAGAGTTAAATGAAATTTTACTTTGCTTTAAAATTCCAATGTAGTCTTGCAACATTATCAGCAATGATCACAGGCCTACAGTCCCAATTCACCATAGGTCTAGGCCATTATACAAATGCTCTGGAGAATAGGTTATCAATTTATAGCACTCTATGACATGAGCCTGCTGATTCTGTGATGATTATTTAGTCTTTGGTGTTCTTTATCAATAAAAGAATTTCTATCATTTATACTTCAGCAAAGACAAGTTGTTTGAGTAACTGACTTTGTTTCAATTTTGTTGCTGTTTTTTTATTTTGGCGTGAATCTTATCATCCTTAATTCAAGCAAAATAGGCAACTAGTAGTCTAAGAAAGATTTGTGGTTCTACTAGAATGCCAGTTTGTTTTTAAAAAGTTCATTCAAATAGATTTATAGTCTTCCCCGACTGCTTAAAATTAGATAGTCACAATATGATATGTTTATGGTAATCCTCTTAGTGTAAATTGAATGTAAACTTCACCAGGAATGAAAAAGATTTTTATTCATTGCAGAAAGTTACGGCTAACTATAGAAGAGTACTCCTGTAGAGTTGGGCAACAAGCAGTGGTCCTGTGTTGTACACCAAATGTAAGCCACGCCCCCTCTGTTAACCAGTCCATGCAAATGTATAAAGTATTTGGCTCACAGCCTCTTGAAAATGTGGTAAGTTATGATACTGCATTCTGGTAATTTCTGCAGTTTTGATCAACATGCCCCACTAGTATAGATGAAAGTATGACCATATGATAAGCTGTCTTTTTTTACTTATAGAGAGTAATAATACTTGTTTCATTTTTATATGTATATAAAGTTTAGACTTTTAATAAGACCATTTTAGTACTTTTGATTTATATTATGTTTAGGAAATATTCCCCCCCCCCCCCCAAAAAAAAACATGTTTCAATATTATAACAACAAACTCATTGTGAATAATTCTTTAGTAGTTTTCCACAGTGATAGTTTTAGAAATATTGTCTTTTCAAGTTAGGTGATCCAAACCTTAGCTATGTGACTTAGGTCTGTGCCTTCAATTCACTTGCTTATAGGTTCAAATCCCACTCCCTTCAAAGATGCTATCCAGCCAGCCACCAATGGATGTCCCTCTGTGCTTAAAATGCCTAAAAAGGGACAGTCTTTTCTACCAGTAAAGCTTGAAAGGCACCTTATTGTGAAGTGTACAGTGTTTGTGTGATTTAACACAGCCAGAACAATAAGTTGTTGATAATGTTAAATGGTTTCGGCAGACCAAAGTATGTGTAGGTAGAGGTTGTCATTACAGTCATTTGAAGATATTGTGAACTGTGTATTTGTATTTATAGGTTAGGAATAACAAACAGCAGATTTTACAAGACCTTGAACAGTCTCTGGTAGAGCACACACCTCCTTCCCAACAGGACAATTCTGGTTTACATGAGTTGCCTCCCTTAGTAATTGATGGAATCCCGACACAAGTAGATAAAATGACACAAGTAAGTTATTATGATTTCCCCTCGTCAACTTTATCTTGTCATAAAGTACTTGTTATTTTAGTCTTTTGTATTACAATATAAGTTTAACCTCCTTGATTTGTTGGGATGTTGGTATTTGAATGTATTTTTTGAATTCATTAACTTACTGAAATTATTAAAATACTATTATTTATTATTAATTTGTAGGCAGTATAACTTATGTTGGATTCCTTTATTTGTTGGAACAGAGTGATTGTAAATGTTTTTATTACAGGCACAATTACGAAATTTCATTCCCGAAATGTTAAAGTATTCCACTGGCCGAAGTAAACCAGGTTGGGGGCGTGCTGAGAGTCATCCTGTATGGTGGCCAAGTGATTTACCGTGGGCAAATGTCCGCAGTGATGTACGTTCAGAAGAGGATAAGAAAAGGGTATGTAAAAATAATGAAAAAGTTGGAACTGATCAAATAAAGTACTTTTTTCCCCACAAATTACCTCAATGCTTTAAAATGTATAGAGGAATGGAAATCTTCAAACAAATGCATATTTTTGTTTCAAGTGTGTAAAAAGTTTCTTTATACATTATTGAATTAAAAGTAATTGAAAAATAATATAGATCTGTGTTTATCAATGCAGAACATTTGGGCAAAATTTCCTTTTTTTGTACAGTATGTAAATGAGAAGAAAAAATCATTATTATTTTATACTACAGGTTCCTTGGACAGAGGCTTTACGTCAGATTGTTAAAAATTGTTACATGCACCACGGTCGGCAAGATTTGTTACAAGTGTTCAAGGATGAACCGGTGTCAGGCGTGACTGTGCAAGCCCAGCAGCCCTTCGCCGGCACCATGATGCAAACTATAAATAACCCAGATGGTTCTGTGTCTATTATACAGATAGACCCAGGTCCGAACCGAGTATTAAGTTTACCAGAAATTGGCCAGAATCAGGTTGTAACACTGCCTGATGGTACACAAGCCACAGTTGTACACGCAGTATGTATTTGTAACTTGAAACTTACCCATATTTTATATAAACATCTTTCATCTCCTCATTGATACTTATTTAGATGATTAAATAATAAGTACTATATATATAAACTATAAATAAAAAGATACATGTTTATGATATACTTATAAATGAAAATTGACAAATATTGATGAAATAAAATGCGTATTTTCATTTTCTGTATTTTCACTGTATTATTTATTTTTCACTGCAGTGAAACATTTTCGTTATTTTCTCTGGTGTCTTGCCAAACTACTTTCTTCTAAATTCAGCAAATACACAAAATTTAAGGGGAAATCTTTCAAATTGTAGTATCGAAAAGAAAAATGTATATAATAAACAGAAAGTTAAAGTTTTTTTCTACAATTACAGGATTTATTTTCGTCTTGTGGTATGAACATTATCATATTTCACACGAGCCTACCAACACTCCTGAAATATTTATTTTCATACCACTTGATAAAAATACATCCTGTATTTATTGAAAAAACTTGAATATTTTCTATTTATAATATCAATATAAATATATGAACTAGATAAAGATATTAAAGTTGTGAAAATCTTTCTAAAAAGAACCTGTTGTTGATATATATATCAAAAGTCTTATTTGTAATCGTGTTATTATTCATAGATCCAAGATGCAAATCTTCACCAACAACAGTCCCAGCATGAAGTCCAGATCTCTCAAAATTTACCACAGTTTACAGAAATAGCTACAAATGGCAATCAAGCTGCTAGTACACAGGAGCTGAGCATTGTCACAGGTTCCCAGCAGGCAGCCATTAGTGCTCTTCAAGCATCCATCAATAGTGCTGGACAGATCATTCTTACAGGAGCTGATGCTTCACAACTTGGAGGTAGGCTTACTTTTACTGGTGCCATGCTGACAATGTAGAACCCTCTTGTTGCATTAAATTTAGTAATCCCCTGTTCCTGTGTTAGTTATTTTGGGAAAAAATGAATTCTGCAGGTATAAGGTTGTAAAATTGTATTCTGGATTAGTCATTTTTAGCTTGTCTGTTTCAAAGAAAAAGTTTGAGAGCTTTTATGATCACTAAATAGTCATCGTTGTCATGTAAAAACTTGAAATAGCCCATTACTCAAACACTGTTAAAGGTATCAACATGGCACTTGGAATGCTTGCTCATCTTGACAAGTTGCTATTTTAAGACAAGGGTCATTATTCTTATAGCTATATTTTTGGAGTTTTTTCCCTTTTTAAAGCAGCATGCCTCCAGATTCATTCTTATTTTCATGAAAAAAATAAAAATGTAATAGAAAATAAAACATTGGCAAGTGAACAAGTTTACACAATGCAAATAGCACTTTCAATCCCTGTAATTTACCTAATAAAGGTCAAAGTAGGCAAAAAAAGTAGGCGAAAATTGTCCTTACTGTGTAAGTCACACAGTGTCCTTACTGTGCAAGTCACGCATTAGAAATAATGTGATAAATACTGCAAAATCAAGTAAAAGCAACATAGTATTGTATATTATCATAATTGGAGGTACATGTATTAATGATTACTTGCAGTTTATTTAAGTGCATTTGTCTAACTAACATTTAGTATAATAGGGACTGAACTTAATTTTTCAGCATTATGAAGGATTAGACTTGAAGATATTTGGATTATTGATATTAATAAAGCTACTGTCCTGCACATTGTAGTTTGGGTGTTTTTGAAAAAAAAAAGAACAATTGTGCTCTTGGTTAGTTTTTTTTCCTGCAGTTGATTGCTATGCTATTTTGCATAGAAAATTATGTCTATAAAATGAGACAAAAAAGAAGAACATTTTTTGAAAATCTGGTTTAAAACTGACATTTATATAGTAAGTTCTACCTGCATCAAGCTGTCCTTGCTACATGTTAACCAGTGTGATAAAGGGGTGTTTATATCTGTATCAAGTGAAACATAATAACAGTTAGGTCGCTGTTATTGAAACTGCAAATTTTACTTCTATGCATATTTAATAACTGAAAACAAACATGCTGATGATTTTTAGACCTTTTTTGTGTGGGAGAATAGCTTTAATATTTCTTGGTTACCAAATTAAATAATTTGATCTAATTTATGTCCTTTATATATATTTTTTCTTTGTAGACTATAACATAAATGTAAAGTCTTACTGATAGATTTAAATGTATATGTGACTTTAACAAGTTAATGGTACTGTCAGGATAAAATTACAATGTAAGCTGTTCTACACTGTATAGTTATGTTGATCAGCAGTTTAAATATTATAATATAACAAAGTTTTACCTCTCATATGACTTCAGGTATTATGACAGTATTACCAGTTTCTATGTATCAGCCAGTCCAGACTGTGCAGCAGATTCCTGCCAATCTAAGTTTTCAACTACAGCAACAAACTGGGAATCAGGCTGTTGAAATCCCTATGGTGACAGTTGCCGGGGGTGATGCCACTTCAAATTCATTACAAGAAGAGAACACTAGCATGGAAGTTAAGGAGGAGACAGCTTTAGACGAAAGCACTGTTGAAGAGAATGGACAGTTAAATATCCAAGACAATGATGATAATTCCCCATCAGATTTACAAATTTTACCTTGAGAGAAACAAGGCTTTTTCTGCAATCTTATGTTTTAGCCATTCTCTAAAATTTAATAAATGTGCCAGTCTTAAAAAAAACCACAAGATTTCTTGCCCAGGTTATTCCTTTTTGATCAAATAAAGTATGAAGTTTCAAAATAACACAAATTTGACTGAAATTTTCAACCAGTGTAAAGTCTGGAGTATAATCAATTTTTATAGATGATTGTATAAATTCTTTTGTGTAACTGCTCAAAAAGAGGCCCTTCATAAGTTGTATTCTTTCAAATTATTTTTTTTCATTTTTGTACATTAATCCATGACAGCTCTAGCAGCATATGCTTGTTTTTGTTATGCTTTGTTGCTAAGTTTCATACACACTATAAATATAGCATCATGTTCATTTTGCATATTGTATGTAATACATTGCATGTTAAATTATTGTGGGTGTGTAATACAGTGATCCAAGTTGTACCGTGACAGTTTGTGTTTAGAATAAATGAAAAATATTGTATTCACCATACTTGAAAACGGCAATTTTTGTATTATAAACATTTGAGAATGTTTTGTTGTGTTTGTGCAATAACCACTATCGTGACAGGATAAATCCTTCTCTTTTTATCCATGTTTAGTTGCAAAAACCTTTTTTAATCATCACCTGTTAGTTTACTTTCTTACTAATTCAGAAGAAAATCCTTTCTCTTTTGTTTGAACTACAGAATCCAAAACCTCATGGTCACTATTCTTCGTGTAACCATATCCTGCTTAAACAGAAAGAGTTAAACCTTTGCCACCAGTATAGAGCCAGGCCAGCCTGCACATCTGTGCAGTCTGACCTGGCTGTATTCTGTTGGCTGACCAAATTTTTGTCTTGATATTACAATGGACAGTTTTATAATGGAAATGTGACAAGTGTAAAGCAACAGCCATTATATATAATATCATGCATCTGTAATTATCATATAGGTAATGGAAGAACATTTGTTATGAGTAATAATAAATATTGTTTGTAAATTATTATTTAATACAATAGATCAGAATTTGTACCAGTAAAGAAAGTCTTAAGCCAATACAGTACAGTTACACCTATGGATTAAGGGCCCCTATGTTATACTTGTATGCTCAAAATGAGCAATTTGGTTTGATCAGGATTTTTTTTTTGATTTTTTTCTTTCTATACAAAACAGATATAATTTCACACAAGACAAACTATTAACAAATAAGTTTACGGTATTTACATGAATGTTTAAGTTGTTTGTAGAAAGCAAAATGGTCAAGAAGGCCGTTTCAAATGATAAGCAATTGCTATATAAAACTATTTGTCTATACTGTATACAAGTGACTACTGGCAGAGTCAAGGACAGGTCAATGCCCCTTGTATACAGCCAGGTTACCGCCTTTACTGGGGTACATTTGTTCAGATTGACCAAGCTTTTAAACTGTTGGCTATTCAGTTTAGTGTTTTAATATGTAAATTCATTAGACCAACAATAGCTCTAAATTCAAAGCAGGGCTGTTCCATTACACAGATAGATTAGTCTGTTGTTGAATTTTCCAGAGGACCAATGATATACTTTTATATTGATTTTGATAACAGAATAAGTTGAATTTTTACTAACTAATTTGATATTGAGTAACATGAGAGTTAAAATGTTTTACTTTGCAATATACATGTTCATGTGTCACCTTTTTATTGTTTCCATAGACATGTTTGTTGTTACAAGATTCTATGTGTTTATATTCATTTCATGTTTTAGAAGATTATGGAAATGTAATTATGAATTTTATTATGATAATTTGACAGTGAAATCGTGGCCAAAGAATATTCCAATATTCAAGATACCGTAGCTATCACTCATATATGAGTGGAAATCTTAGCAGATGTGGAATGTATTGTAATTAAAGATGTAATCATTGATAACAAATAGAATGCAGTTAAGGCAATTAATAATAAAATGTAACAAAAATGTAAAGAAACATTTTTCACAATTTACATTATGAAAGTAAATTAAATGATGTCCTGAACTTGATTATGGAGAGCAACCTGACAGATTGCGGCAGAAATGTGGCAAAAGTGGGTAAAAATACACAAAAACCATAATAATAGCTTGTAAATTATAAAAATTTGCTTGCTTTACTTGAAAGATCAATTTTTACCTTCATGTAGCTCTGAAGCAAACATATGTTCTATTTTTGATGCAGTATCAGTCCATTTACAATTTCAGAGCTAAATTAGTCTAATTACTGGTAAATTTATGAATTATCAGTTTTACCTGATTGTAATGATATGTTGTATTTGGCATATTATTCATATATGAGAAGAAAGATTTATATTTTCCACTGTTTCAATGTTCATATAGTTTTAACTCATTATTGGCCCAGTAACAATCCTCCAACCTCCCGTGGGGCCCCCACCTGGTTTAGAGACAGTACTGCTTGCACTAACAAGTGACCAGGCTCTACAACTCAGTAACAACTGGTAGCTCGGTTTGTTTTTTGTATTTTTGATATTGAAATCCCTTGAACTTCAAATGGACTGTTCCAATTTCAAAGCAGGACCAATCCATTACACAAATTCAGCAGGTTAAGATACAACCATGTATTTAGTGATTAAAATATTTTTCTGCTTACATAATTACGTTTTTTTATGTTTCCTTATAAAGACAATGGTAAATGATTTTTCATCATCTATGTGTCTAAATTTTAAAATAATGAAGATTTAAATGTGACATTTTATTTCTTCTTTTAAAGAAATAATCTGTTTAAATGATTATTATTATTTCTTGAATATGTTTAAATATTCATCGGAAATAAATTGTAAATATATAATTCTAACACGACCCGCATTTTTCCCTATTGAACATAGAAGAACCGAAAGTGTGTGTTATTATGCTATAAAATCACTGTTTGACGTTCTATATTTAGACATGTGACGTAATCATTATACACGTGACGTAACCACTAAAAATGTGACGCGCTGACAATAAGTAAGGAAACAAATTAGGCGCAATTTAGCTAATTATTATGTACGGCAGCATTTATTTGTTGATGTCGTGTTAGAATCGAAATGATATATCCAAATCGGTGATTTTATTGCTTGATAACATCACTGTTTGTCGATCGGATGCGCATCATTATATCACTCGGGCTACGCCCTCGTGATATAATTCCCTGCATCCGAACTCCAAACAGTGATGTTATTGAGCAATAAAATCACAGTTTGGGATATATTATTTCTTAAATAGAAGTGTGCGTTATGTAATATATCCAGCTCAATTCTGATAAACAAATGACTTGATAAAGAAATGGTTTACGCTTAGGTTGATGCTTTGCCAGACTTTCAAGAATAGGTACCTTTGGTTTTTAACCCTTACTTTGCCCAGGGTCTTTCAAATTATATTTGAAAGACCATGCTTTGCCTAATATTATGGATTTGACCATTTTTCTCTCCGGACTACACCATTCAGCTTTTATAAGGAAAATTTTCAAATATGCACAGACTGAATAAGAACAGTGTAGACTATGATTAGTCAGCATGGATGTGCCAGCTGGGTCTGCACTAGACCTTAAGCAGAACCAGGGGAATATTTAGATATTTTTTTTTATATTAAAGTTAGCATCAATTCATTTTCTTATCATTTACATTTAAGTATGAATTGCTTTCACATATGTTTTTTTCTATATGAAACAGCTTGCCGGGCTATATGTTTGGCTTGTCGGAGCATTACCCAAAAAGTATTAGCGATATCAATTTGAAACCTTTTTGCATAAATTTGAGAGTTATTGCCCTTTGTAATATATAAATGGTTGTCCAGAGCCTAAATCAATACTATTGGGAGGACAATTAGGGCGGAGCTATTTCCCTTGGGGCTCCAGCTATTGGTTTTATTTCCGTAAAGTGCATTCATGGGCTAATCTGAAAGCAGATCATGAACAACATTGATTTATGTCAGCTTACTGCCCTATGCTTTGAGTCAATAATTGCACTGGTCAGGTGCCTACAAAGGTTTTGAAATTCGATTGGTTTGCTCATAATTGTCAACAAGAACTGTGTTTTCATGGTGCCAGTTCTTATTTTTATGTTTCTGATTAAAGTCGGGCACATAATTATATTTTAAACTTTGAATAACTTCCAATTACTGTTTTATATTGTAAAAATTTCATCTGGAATTTTCTCCACAAATGTTTTGATACGTACATAATTATATACGTATGTATATTGTCACTATGTACATCCAACACAACAATATTTCAGTTAATTAATTACCTTTTATTTTACATATGAAAAAGAAAATCTGACAGACGCTGAGGTAGAGCTAGGCTTTATTCTGAATATTAAATCGGTATTCAGAACTGATAACATACGCTGATACAATTTTAACGCAATGAATACTGCAGGTAGGTTTAAAATTTATATCACGCAAAAAAGAACGTTCGCTGTCCATTGATAGGGGATATTATCAGTTGATTTCAGACTCATTTGAATTGTTATTAAACTATTTTGTGCGGGTTTCAAGTGACAGCATCAGTAAAGTCCGTTTGAAATTAATGAAGGGATTTGAGATATACATCATTTATAGGAACGCAATCGAAATAACATTCGCCTAATATAGATTACAACTCTTAAGTATGTAAATTTAACTTCCGCGTTCCAGATATGTATTCAAGCAACGACTTGGATATGCACCAAGTAATAAGACCAATATTTTGTCAAAATATCAGTAATAAAACCAGATACATGTTATTGAAATGTTAAAATATGTGGATCTATAAGACCGTGTCGCTAAATGATAATTTCGAGAATTTAATTTGAAACAGAAAAAAGAAAATCAATAAACAAGATGGCAGAAAGTGAGGGTGAAATAGGAGAGAACGATAAAGTTTCCGGACGTATAAAGGAATGTTTGTGTCAGCCATGTTTAATTAAGGATAAGCAAACTGTAGCTGACAAGTTTTGCTCAACTTGTAATGAATTCCAGTGTACTGATTGTTCAAGTGTACACGACTTGCTCCCAATTTTGAAAAGTCATAAATTGGTGAACGCAAAAGAAGCTAATGCATCAAGAGTTTTGCTTGATATGAAGGGATTAGATCAGTGTGATCAACATAAAGAAATTTTGAAATTCTTCTGTGAAGATGAAAACAAGCTTTGTTGCAGCACTTGTGCTATTTCTAAGCATCGTAAATGCCACAGCGTTGTAGAAGTTGATGAGATCGCTGGAAACATTACTTCACGAAGTTCTACCTTAATGGAAAAAATGAAAAAAGCACTTCAAGATGCTGAAGGCATTGCAAGACACATTCTCAATTCTAAAGATCAGCTAGCCCAAAACGTAAACGAAATACCAGTAAAGATTAGAGAAATGCGAGATAAAGTAATGCAGATGTTTGACGATTTGGAACTTTCTGTCGCCAAGAGAGCTAAAGATCTTCAGAAAGAATCATTAGTTAACCTGACAAAGAAACAATCACTAAACGAAAAGCATTTGGCTCATGTAACATCGATTTTTGAAACCATTGATAACGTTTACAAAAATGGAACTTCAGCGCAGAAATTCATAGCAGAACAAAACATGGAAAATGAAGTCAATGTTCTATGCAGGCATGTTCAGGAGGAGATTCAAAACTCAGATACGGCGACCATTACTTTTCATTTTGACGATGCATTAAAACTGCCACCACTACCAATCACTGAATATATTCCTGGCCAACTCATATTAAAGTCGCTTCGACAGGGAGATGCAAATTCGGATAATACGGAGATCACATTAACTCCAGTTTTTTCCATTGATTTGAAGAAGACAGGAGATGACATGAAGGAACCATTCATTACAGGAATAGACTTTCTACCCGATGGTAGACTAGTTGCTGTGGATAAATACAATAAAACATTCTTAGCTTGCAATGAGAAGCTTGAGAAAGTAGGATCATATCAGTTATCTTACGAGCCAATGTCCGTTGTTGCTGTATCTGAGGACGAAGTAGCGATAACGAGTGGCAGCGAATATATTATAGAATTCCTACGTGTTAGTAAAGCTAATGAAATAAGTCTAAGTGGAAAAATTAACGTATCGACGAAATATTTTTCTGTATGTTTAAAAGATAATAGACACTTAATGGTAGGGACTTATGATGAACAAAGACCTGCTGAAATAGTTTCTTTGACAGCGGGACAGATATTTGTCTTCAATATTAACTTTCCGGAAAAAACATATCCTTTAAACAAAAGCGCTTGTACTTATGTTCGAAGCAGTGATAAAGTGGTGCTTACAGATAGAGACGGCCATACTGTCTACATATATGATAACGTGACAAACACGAGAGTCGTAGTTAAGGGTTATCAGATAAAGGAACCATGTGGTGTAGCAGTTGGTCCCTATGATACTATTCTGGTTTGTAGTTTGAGAACAAACTCTATCGTGCAGATATCACAAACAGGTCAGATCTTATCATCACACAAGATAGATATGGATAATCCGTATAGAGCCTGTGTCTCATGTGATAAAACATTTCTTGCGATAACAAATTCATGTGAAGGTGAGATGAAGATACAGAAGTTTAAGATATCATTATAATTATGCAGTCGCCTGTATCACAGAGTACATACATGATTCACACTTTAATGTTAAAAAGTCGATAGTTTCAAAGGTGACCAAGGCAGCACTGTATATGCAGTTATTCGATCTAAGTATTCTTGTTTCTCCCTTGTCACAATGAGACTCTCATAACAAAACTAATGTGTTAACAATGTATTGAGAACTTGTTCAATGAAGAACAAATATGTTATGACCGACCGGTCTTATATACATCAAGAACATCTTATGAGTGAAAACGCTTCAGTAATGATAATTTCTATTATTCATTTCATTTTAGATACATTTTACTTAATATTGAAAATGAAACCATTAACTGACATAATCATTGGAATTTTATGTAGCACTGCAAATATGTTTATTAACCAACGTTATTTCATTTATCTACAATTGTTCGTATAATGCTGACTGTATATAATTGTGTGCTCATTTGTAAATCTATTAATCAATATTCTTTCTGTTAGTTTCAAATGCTTTTGATTTTATTTTGCAGGGACTAATGAACTAATTGTATGATATTATTGAACTACGTATATTTTAATTCAGTTATCATAATCCACATTTCTTTTATGTGACTGAATGCAATTTTCGTGTAATTTTGTTGTGATTAATTCTTCCGAGGGATCACCCTTTTCCAGATTTATAATATGTACCTGTTCGATATATCATTTATCCTACTATCTGTCAACATTGTGATATCATGACAAACACGTAGGTCGTAATAAAGATGTGATCAAATACAAAGACCACTTGGTGAAACAGTTGGTCCGTGTTATATTATTCTTGGAACAAATTTTATTGTACATATTCACAAACAGGTCAGATCTAATAATCATATAAAATATCCGTATAGAGCACATGTCCTGCGTGAAAAATTATGTCTTGATGTTGCAAATAATTGTAAAGAAAATTTAAAAAAAAAATGCAGAAATTCAAAATGTCATGAAAATAAAACAATCATCTGTTTTCTTGTAAATATTATTGTACTTAAGATCATGTACATTGTACAATTATAGATAAACTATATGGTTTGTTCTGTACCACGTATCAACTGATATGAATAAATAAAAAATGGTTATGATGATTAATAAAATACATAATCATTCGCTGGAATTCGATGGAAACATCGAAATTCCTCACAATGTCACAATGTGGCTGTTCACAAAAACAAAACAATGTGCTGAGAAATTGCGCAAAAAATATAAACAGGATTAAAATCAGTGAACAATAATTATTTCTTTAATTGATTTTGGGTAGCAGAGAAAAAACCCATTTTATTGACAGATATAACTTTTAGTTAGAACGGTATATATGATATGTAAATTAACTCCCGTTCTGTTTCAACTAAACTCGTGTAGATAATATTGAGATAATTTCTATTTGTGTGACAATCAGTTTATCTGTATACTGATCATTATCTTACAATGGCAAATGTTATGATATGACTAATCTACGTTTATTTTGAATCATATAGACTACAGTATGAGTATGTAAAATATGACTGATCTATGCTTATTTTCAATCATATAGACTGCAGTATGAGCATGTTAAAATATGACTAATCTACGCTGATTTTGAATCATACAGACTACAGTATGAGTATGTTAAAATATGACTAATCTACGTTTATTTTGAATCACAAAGAAAACAGTATGAGTATGTTTAGATATAACTGTTCTACGTTTATTTTGAATCACATAGAATACAGTATGAGTATGTTAAGATATAACTGTTCTAAGCTTATTTTGAATCACATAGAATGTTAAGATATAACTGTTCTAAGCTTAGTTTGAATCACATAGAATACAGTATGGGTATGTTAAAGGGATACTCAGGCAAAATAATGGCAAAAATATAAAAATGATTTTCTGTACTCAAATCACCCTAAAATGACATTTCTTAAAGTCCCAACATGAATTTCTGTATAAATTCTATATATTTTGGGTTTGAAGTTTAAATATATCTATATATGTTGAACGAAATTTTGACGCGAACAGAATCACCGAATAGTTTAAAAACAAGTCATGCGATTTGAACAAACCCTGGAAGTTACAATAACAAATATTGTGGATATTGTATGATTGAAACAAGTCTAAGTAATTGATTTGACATGTTTTTTAACGTTTCCAGAGTACAGTGACAACTATTGTGAAATTTTAGCGCTCTAACCTGACCCACGCGGGTCAAGTTAGGAAAACACCATTTTATTCTTTATATGGAGAAAAGTTTTGTTCCTTTGACTGTTTAGTGTATTCATTTTGAGGACATTTACAGAATAATGAATGAAAATTTCAAAACTAAGAAATGAAAATTTTGCCTGTGTCTCCCTTTAAGATATAACTGTTCTAAGCTTATTTTGAATCACATAGAATACAGTATGAGTATGTTAAGATATAACTGTTCTAAGCTTATTTTGAATCACATAAAAAACAGTATGGGTATGTTAAGATATAACTGATATACGCTTATTTTGAATCACATAGAATGTTAAGATATAACTGTTCTACGCTTATTTTGAATCATATAGACAACAGTATGAGTATGTTAAGATATAACTGTTCTACGCTTATTTTGAATCACATAGACTACAGTATGAGTTTGTTAAGATATAACTGATCTACGCTTATTTTGAATCACATAGAATACAGTATGAGTATGTTCAGATATAACTGATCTACGCTTATTTTGAATCACATAGAATACAGTTTGAGCATGTAAAGATATAACTGATCTACGTTTATTTTGAATCATATAGACTACAGTATAAGTACATTAATTTATTATTATTCTACGCTTATTTTATATGTATGTAAAGGAATGATTTAAGCATATTTTGAATCATATTAATTACAGTAAGTTTTAAGGTATGATTGATTTACATTTATTTTGAATAAAGTTGTTGTATTGTGCACGTTTGTCGTAAGTTTATTGTTGTTTCATTTTTCTGAATATATATGCATGTATATGTAAATATTTTGTAAATAAAATGCCATGTTGGAAATAAATTGTTTTTTTTTTTCTAATGAAGTCTTGATATGTCACCTTCTCAAAATATGAATAACACGTACTGTCGATTCAAATATGAATGAGAATGGGAACTCTCAAAATTAAAAGTACATAGGGCAGGAAAAAGTCATATACGAAAACACATTACAAGGAAAACAGGTGAATGAATATTATTTGGCCTGATGCCTGTATGCCGAAGGTCGTAAGTTCAAATCCCATAAGGTGGTAATATATTTTGTATTTCATTATTTACTTTTTTACAAATTTTATTTACATGTATATATATATTTCCATATTTTATTCACGAGAATGCTATAGCATTTATGATAAGTTACAATTAATTCAATTCATCAATTCAAACAATGCCTTCAACCTCTGCGGCACTCTCAATCGCGCTGGCGCTGGCGTGTTCGTCTCCGTTGACAAGAGAGTACCACAACAGGTGATTATCAAGGAGAAATGAATGATAAGGTTTTCATCAAGTGTATTAATCAAAAGCTAATCCCTTATCTTTCAGCACACATTGTCGTGGTAATAGACAATGCACCTTATAACACTATTTGCGAGTATTGATTTCTAACGAAATGAAATAAAAAAAAAATGATGACGTCCTTCAAACAGCGCCATAACATACACCTCAACCCTAGCAATAAATAGATAAATTTCGTTGTAAACTATTATGTCTCTTGTAACACAAAAGCTCAATTGAATCGTTTTGAACATGATATATCTTTGGCTGAACATTTAAAATACTATTGTTTTCGTCTTTTCGAGAGAGTAATTAGTGGTTTCCGTAAAATGTCGAATAAAGATTTGTTTATCGTGTTATTTATATGCATGACACACATTTGAAAAGTATCTGTGCATTGAAAAAATATATTATTTAAAAAAATGAAATTGCTAGGATTTGAACCCGCATAAGTATAGTTGATAGACCAGTGAGCTACCACTACACTACAATGTCTCATTGCAAATAATATGCCAAATAAGTATTACAATACTATCGATACACACTTGACGTACCTTTCCTGAAGTGCACTGATCCATGTTATGTTTACAACGGTACCGAAATAAATAAACTTCAACAGTATTTCTATTATTCTTTATCATGTTCCGCATTATTTTTTTCCACCGAGGGCCAGTCTAAAGTCATTTTACCGCCCATGAAACCGAGCCTGCAACATTTACATTTTTGTCGTTTTTGCGTTCTTTAGGGATTCTTTGTTTATCTCTATTTTGACTATCTGTAAAAGTTACATGAAAGAATTGAATATAAGAATATTTTTCAATTGTCATTTAAAATTACAAAATGAAATCTGGGAATCTCATTGAGCATTCTAAAATAAGATTAAAAGGATAGTTCTTGTCATTCTAAGATGGTTCTAAACTAACATGTATGGGATAGTTCTTGCTGTTATGAAATAAAATGTAAAGTTCTAAAATGATATGTACAGGATTGTTCCTTAACTTTCTAGTTAAATTGCTCAAATATTTAAGTTCTGTTTAATAATACTTCCTCAAACACACATGTTACACTGTATTCAGATCTTATTACATTTTCTTGTGAACAGTTTATTAGTCCCCTACCGGTTTACCGGAGGGGACTTTAGGTTTACCCTCCGTCCGTCCGTCTGTCCGTCCGTCTGTCTGTCCGTCAGTCCGTCCGTCCACAAAACTGGATCCCGCGATAACTTGAAAAGTACTGAAAATATTTTTATGAAACTTGGTATATGGATAGATGGCAGTATGGAGATTATGCACGTCTTTTTCTTTTCTTCCTATGTTGAAAATTCTGGTTGCTATGGCAACAAATAGGCTAAAAATATGGCAAATTTTACACATAAACTGGATCCAGTGATAACTCAAAAAGTACTGGAAATATTTTTATGAAACTTGACATGATATGGGTAGATGGCAGTCTTGGAATTATGCACGCTTTTTTCTTTTCTTCCTATGTTGAAAATTCTGGTTGCTATGGCAACAAATAGGCTGAAAATATGGCAAATTTTTACACATAAAACTGGATCCAGTGATAAAGCAAAAAGTACTGAAAATATTTTTATGAAACTTGACATATGGGTAGATGGCAGTCTTGGAATTATGCACGTCTTTTTCTTTTCTTCCTATGTTGAAAATTCTGGTTGCTATGACAACAAATAGGCTGAAAATATGGCAAAATTTACACATAAACTGGATCCAGTGATAAAGCAAAAAGTACTGGAAATATTTTTATGAAACTTGACATATGGGTAGATGGCTGTCTTGAGATTATGCACGTCTTTTTCTTTTCTTCCTATGTTGAAAATTCTGGTTGCTATGGCAACACATAGACTGAAAATATGGCAAATTTTACACATAACCTGAATCCAGTGATAACTCAAAAAGTACTGGAAATATTTTTATGAAACTTGACATATGGGTAGATAGCAGTGTTGAGATTATGCATGTCTTATCTGTTCTTCCTATTTTGAAAAAATATCAGTTGCCTTGGCAACAAATAGGCTTAAAACATGGCAAATATAACAATATTTGTGATTAGTCAAAAAGAGCTGAAAATTCTTATGAAATTGCATCTTTAATTCAAGAGTTATCTCCTCTTTAAGAATTCTGCTTTTAATTTTACATAAGAACTTACTGAATTTATTTATTTAAACTGTGATAGTACATTTTGTTTAAATTTTGCATACATATATCCTTCAAGGCATATACTTTACCAGTGCTTCCTTATTAGTGTCCAATAGGGTGGTCATACCTTAATGTAAAAAGTGAGGACATAGAACGTAATAAGTTTTCATCGATGATAATAGTGATTATCTGTTAGCTTACCAAGATATTTCAATCAGTGGTCGAATATTAAAAGGACTTGGACATCACTTGAAATGGTACCAGTAACTTTCACCGTTTCAAATATGAAATATTTTTCACTTATATACATAAACTAAATAAAGTTGTCAAATTTCATAATCTTTTAAAGCAGTATGATAATATAGCACATGCTTTTACGTTTAAATAAGTCATTATTAATGTTCCTTGCACTGAAAATTATTCTTAATTATTCATGTTTATTATCAGCATTAAAGTGAAAATGTATATAAACTCTTGTAAGTGTCATTAGCGTTTATTGTTGCCACTTTCATTTTAAACCCGGGTTTCGAATTGTGATATTAATCCCATTTTAAACTTTAAAAATATCTAAAAGATCATAAGACAATTGCATGCACATAAAAGCATATTTTAACGAAAGTTATGCTAATCGCATGAACGAACATCGCAAAATGAAAGATTTGAATATATTATAATATCATATCACATAAGTTGTACTTCTTGTTTTAAATATCTATTGTAAACATACGACAGATACAACTTTGATAGATATATGTCAATCGCATGAACGAACATAGCAAAATAAAAGATTTAAATATATATTTTCATATCATATTACATAGGTTGTTCTTCAAATTTAATGTCTCTGTTTCAAATATATATTGTAGACATACGGCATTAACAACTTGGAGAGATATCATAAACGATTTGTATTAGTAAACATTTTTATCAATTGAAAACCTATCCTTTTTGCAATAAACTATTAAACTATTAAACGAAGTTGATATATGATATAGTTTCGCTGATCGGTCAGTTGGTTATTTAAACTTATTTAATTTAATAAAAAAATAAAGAATCGTTGTTTAACAAAATGGCGGACGGTGGAAGTAATACACAAGAAGACGATGAAGTTCCTGGACGTGTCGTGGGAATTTTGTGTCAAGCGTGTTTAAGTAAAGATAAGAAAATTGTAGCTGACACGTTTTGTTCAACGTGTAATGAATTCCAGTGTATTGATTGTTCAGGTGTGCATAACGTGCTTGACATCTTTACAAGTCATAAATTGTTAAACGCAAATGTAGCTCATGTGATCAGATGTGACCAACATCAAAAGGTTTTAGATTATTTCTGTGAAGATGAGAAAAAGCTTTGTTGCAGTACTTGCGCCATTGTTGATCATCGTGAATGTAAAATCATTGTTGAGGTCGAGAAAATTGCCGGGAAAATGATGTCACCTGCTTCTAGCCTAGAAGAGATATTGCAGGAAGCCAAAGAAAATGCTAAAGATATCAAAAGACACATCATCTCTACAATAGATCAATTTGCTCAAGACGTTCAAGAAATACAAGCAAATATTAAAGAAATGCGAGATGAAGTAATGAAAATGTTTGACGAATTGGAAGTTTTAATTGTTAAGAGAGCTAAATCTTTTCAGAAAGAAACAAAGGGTAACCTTGAAAAGAAGCAGTCACAAAACGAAAAACATTTGGCTAATATTACAGCGTATTTATAAACGGTTCATAGCATTTACAAAAAAGGAACTACAACGGAGAAATTTATAGCAGAACAGAAAATGGGACTAGAAGTAAATACTCTATGTAGAAATGTCAAGGAAGAATATCAAGGGTTAGAGGCGGTGACCATTTCGTTTGATTGGGACGAACAATTAAAGCTGCCACCACAACCCATTAATGAATATATTCCTGGACAGCTCACGGTAAAGTATAATTTATGTGAAAATGATAATGCTGTGAATAGTATAATGAAATTAACTCCAGTTGATTCCATTGACTTAGAGAAGACAGAAGATGACACAAGGAAACCTTTGTATTCAGGGATAGATTTCTTACCAGATGGTAGACTAGTCGCTGTAGATAATTACAACGAGAAATTCTTTGTTTACAATGAGAGGCTTGAGAAAGTAGGCTCATATCAGTTATCTTATACACCACAATCTGTTGTTGCTGTATCTGAGGAGAAAGTAGCGATAACAAGTGGCGGACAACACAAAATAGAATTTCTGAATGTAAGTAAATGTAATGAAGTAACTGCGGACCGAACATTTAAAGTGAAGAACGAATATGACTCTATATTTTTGAAGGATGAGAGGCAATTTGTCGTAGGGGTTATTGGTGACAAACGACCTGTTCGAATCGTATCATTGACTGGAGAGGAGAAATATTTAAGTATCAACTTCCCTAACAAAAAATATTATACAGCCAATTTTGCTTGTACTTACATAAAAAACAGCGACAAAGTGGTGCGTACAGATAGATACGAGCATGCTGTCTACATATATGATATCAAGTCAAACACGAGAATCGTGGTGAAGGATGATCAAATAAAGGAACCATTTGGTGTAGCAGTTGGTCCCTCTGATACAATCCTCGTTTGTAGTAGTAACACAAACTCCATTGTACAGATATCACAAACAGGCAGGATCCTATCATCATACAAGCTACATATGATATACCCATCGAAAATTTGTGTTTCACGTGATAACTCAATTTTTGCCATTACAAATTCCTTTTTTGGAAAAGTGAAAATGCAGACGTTCAAATTTGCATGACAATAAAACAAGCTTCTGTATCTTATAGAGGATAGATATAACAATATCATGGGATTATACTAATTTTAACAAAGTCACAAAGTAGTTGTTTTTAAAAATAAAAATAGTCAAACAAAACTATGTTTTAAGAAAGTGTGCGCAATACGTATTATATTGAACAAAATATTTGTTGTAATGGACACTATCAACTTCCTAAACATCCTATGAGTAAATAATTTAATGGCGATAATTTATTTTACTGTATTATTATATGTTTTTCATTTTGGTACAAGTACATAATATTAAATATTTACTATTGAAGTAACAAAATAAACTTATTTAGCACCAGCTACATGTAAGTATTGTTCTATAAGACCTCGTTAATCAAAAGTAAGAAAGTGAGTAAGAAACTGAGTGAGTGAGCGTGTGAGTGAGTGAGTGAGTGAGTGAGTATTTTATTACCGTGGCTTGTACATACTCGTATCTATAACAATAAAATAATAACAAAAAATAAAGAGCGCCCGGCCTTATGAGTCTATAAGTCACCAAAAATCATATACATTGTAATAATAATCATTCAGTATGTATTTACAAATATAATATGTTTTGTTTTTTTTAAAACTTGTTTGAGTCAATTTGAATATTACTAACTAAGTTCAGAAGAACGAATAGTAAATGATAAAATGTAAATAAAACATCGTTCGTGAAAGTCTGACTGTTTATTTGGGTATTCTCTAAACCAATTTTTCAATATACCTTTTTCAAATCCTATCGATTCTTGTGAATTTGTTGTTTTATGATGATTTATACGGTATTATACGATTGAACTATGTTTTAATTTAATCTGTTATCATAGTTAATATTCTTTTTCTCCATATCGTATGTACCTAATTGGTTATGTGTATTAATTTTCATGACCTAGGACTTTATTTGCAGTGAATATTTTTTTCTGTTTTTTTTTAGTTGGCTGTTTTAACAATGGAAAATAAACTAATTTTTAGCTTCTGGCCAGACAAGCGGTTTTACTGGACTCTATGCTATTGTAGCTCATTCTTCACTATTTTGATATTGAAATCCCGTAAAGTTCAAAATTTAAAGTTTTTCAGTCATGGATGCATATTGTAATGAAACATTGCTGCTTATATAAGACAGATTAAGGGTTGATAAAAAGCCAATTTAACTAGATTTCTGTTGTTAACGAACCTTCATTGCCTATAACCGTAGTAAACAAGCTGTTTATTTGCACATATGGCGTCATAATGTTCACTAAATATCATGCAATAGTACCACTTGATGTTATGAGGTTAAAACGAGAGTTTGCGTTAAAATGACAATTTTTAGCAACTTATTATTCGAGAAGCTGTAGTAAAGAAATCAAAGTGCCCCGTGATTCGTTGATCATGTTGCCATGGTGATTGGCGCTTTGTGAATATAACTTTTTTCATGTTTTTTATTTTTTTTTATTTTAGAAATATGTAGCAGATAAATACTGTAGCAACATATTCAATCATCATATTAATATGACTGCTTATTATAAATTTTTTAGCCTTGTCTACGAACTTTCCGGAAAGCCCTCGTATATATGTCAGCTTTACATTGATTCCATTTGTTAAATTTTAGCAGTATTTGTAGATCGATATACATTGTCTACTCGTAAAGTATTATACAAAAATTATTGGCAGAAAATCAAAGTATGAAATACAGTCTTATGGAAAGAATCGTTGTCTATTGAACATGAGATGTTTAGACATTTTTGATGAAGTTTGTTCTGTATGAAATGTTATTTTCATCAGTTATTCATTGGTTTAATAATTTCAAATGGGTTGATTTTGACTTTAGATGTACCCACATGCGTTCATTTTAATGAGCTAAAACGAAATTTTGATAGCAAAAGATCATGCATTGCAAAAAATTCATCTGTATTAAGAATGTAATGTATGCCACTTAACAATGCAGGATTCCGCCATTCAGGTTGCTCTTCCCAACAGCAAATCTGCTAATGCGAAATTCTACGAGACATAATTTCTTCGAAAACTAAACAAACACTTTCAAAAATAAAGACTCGTAACAGGTTAGGCCAATGTCAAATTCCTACATTACAGTACATCATCGCTCAAAGCGTCTACTGTGCAAGGCTTTCTGAAGCAGAAAAATGGCTGGCTTTCCCATCCACCTAATTCACCTGACCGTGCCTCTTATGACATCTTTTTGTTTCCAAAGCTAATAATGATACCTTTCAGCGCGAACACCTAAGTCCTACAACATTTCAGTGCGTTCATGACTTTGGATTGGATGCGGAGACTGAATTTTGCAAATCTGTTTGAGGTCAATACTTTACATATGGAACAAAAAAAATAGTGAAACCTGTGAAGAATCAAATTTTTCTTTCTTACGTACAAAGCATAATCATTAGTAATAAAGCTTGTATCAATACCCATGCATTAGTTAGTAAAAACTCTTAATACTCACAGTAAATATATTAAATATGGATAATAGAATGCGCTTGATATGTACTTACGATTGATAATGAAGATAAATGTGTTTGAGTCTAATATATAAATGCGCTTGGGTTTAAGATGGTAAATTACTGGATTCTGATACGTAAATGTCCTTAATTGTGATTAATATCCTGAATATAGCCGAATATCCTTTCTATTGTTTAAGGGTAACATTGGCCTCCATTTGCCGTCGTTTGGCCAAAGAACTACAATACGCATACGCATAAAATAGTTCAGTGAATTTTCAGTAACTCAAATTGAAAATTTTCAAAATCAAATTTTAACAATTTCTTAAAACCTTTTTTATAGAAGTGCTAAAAAATAGAAATACTAAAAAACAAAAGTGTTTTTATGAGAAAATTATTAGAACTGTTAAGTAAAGGTAACTTTACTTGAAATTCTGGCTTTACGTTATTGTTAAGATATATATGAGTCAATGATATCTGGTGGCACAGACAATAACCAATGCAAGGAAGAAAATGTGTACACATCAAAACTATGACTTATCTGTATTTTAAGTAAAAACGTTTAGAAAGGTAAAATAACAAATCCTAAACAATGATCTCCATCTTGATTCTGTTTGTCATATTATAAAATGTTTGCTCATGTATGAAACAAATTTGTAATGTTAACCTGTTATGTTCCGCTATTTTGAAACGTCGCGGAAAAACTATCACTTGTAACGTTTCTAAGGGGAGAGATGATGACCAAGAGTAAGCATCTCAATCCAGGCATAATGGATTCGAGCACTTCTTGGTTCACGACTATAATCATTCCAATGTACTTAATAAGAAGAAATGACAACATGCTGACATATGTAACGCTGCTTAATGTACCATGTTATAGCAGGTGTGTGCGTTTATTTATTTCTTATATCATAGTTTGGGGACCTTTCTGTTCAAAATGTGTCAGAGTTAAATCGTATGCAAATACATGCACAGTGCGTTAACTGTAGTGCATGTATTAGTTACCCGCACTTCAGAGCATGCTCATTGATTGGCTCAATTTTACCTATTGTGACGACAGAGAAACGAATAGCGACATAAACATCATATATTTAAATACTTGTCCATTGGTAACTATTTTCTGGGCTTTCATATTGTGACAACGGGGAACGTGTTTTTATTTTCGACTATGATTCAAAAAAGAAAAAAACTTCAAAACACTCGGCAATCTGATTTATACTCGGGGGCTACACCCCATTTGTACTAATCAGATAGTTTCGTGTTTTGATGCTCTTTCTATTACTTTTATTTTGATTCAAGATAAAAGATTTTGTTCGGTTACATACCGTGTTACTCGTTTCGCCATGACTTTTGCACAGATATTTTGCGTTACTTTTACACAATTCCGGCGTATTTCTATATTCTTGTGTTACTTGATATGCACAGTGACTTTTTTTATATTTGCATAGTTTTGGAACTGTTTCTTTGTGTTACTTTTTAAAAGTATAAAATCGCTTTTCAGAAACTCAACTTTTTGCACGAAATATTTATCTTATCAATATTGATGTCACATGTCTCCACTGAGTGTCATTATTAAAAAAATTGTTTTAGAGTGGACACAAACTTCTGATATCTATTCAAGATTATTTTCAAGTAAAAGGCCATTGTTTCAGAAAAATTCGTGTGTTTAAAGACAGAGCTTTAATTTTTTTTAATTTTTTTTAACGTGAGTAATAACTAAACATCAATGATCCAGTGTAATTGATCTACTTGATTGAACTGTGCAGAATTAAAATACATGTACGAGGGTCTTTCGGAAATGAATGAAAGTTAGTTTGTTACTTTTGATTGAAAAAAATAAAGCCACAAAGTTTGGCACGTAACTAAAATTAACTCTTTGTGCGTAAGCTCAATTATTTATAAGCATCGTGACGTTAAAACGTGAAATTGCTTATTAAACGAGGATAAGTAAGAGTTAATATATATAGATTTATTTAATAAAATGTGTGCATATACATTTGTGTATATTTAAAAGATTAAAATTGTAGTTAAATTTAACTCTTGTTACACAATTAATTTTATAATACAAATAAACATATATTTTCCTCCTTATCAGCAAACCTTTGTCCAAACTAATGGGACACGTATTTCTGAAGGCGTACTTCATATACCCTGTACAAAGTTAACACCCGCATTCGGAATATTTATTGTTTGATACGACAGTCAGATAATATATGGGCGTATACAATCGTATGACCAATATATTGTGTTAAATCAGTTTAAAAGCTGATATTTTTTATTGAAATGTTGAATTGTTTTAATCTATATATAGTGTCGCTGAATGACAACCTCGAGAATTTCAAGTTTATGTTCATTCTAAAACAGTCACAACTTCACCGTTAAACAAAATGTCGGAAGGAGGGAGTGAAATACAAGAGAACGACAAAGTTCCTGGTCGTGTTAAGGAATATTTGTGTCAGCCATGTTTAAAGAATGAAAAGCATAATGTAGCTGAAAACTTTTGCTCAACTTGTAATGAATTCCAATGTTCTGATTGTTCAAATGTGCACAACAGTTTTGCCATCTCGGAAAGTCATAAATTGGTGAACGCAAATGAAGCTAATACTTCAAGATATTTTTTTGATATGAAAGGATTAGATAAATGTGATCAACATCAAGAACATTATAAGTTCTTCTGTGAGGATGAAAGCAAACTTTGCTGCAGTATGTGTGTTTTTTATAACCATCGTAAATGTCACAGCGTTGTGGAAGTTGAGAAAATTGCCAGGAATAGGTCACAAATTTCTACCTTAATGGAAAAAATGAAGGATGCACTTAAAGATGCTGAGGGTATTGCCAGACAAATTCTCACTTTAAAAGATCAACTTGCTCAAAACATAAACGAAATTCCAGTAAAGATTAAGGAAATGCGAGATAAAGTTATGCGAATGTTCGACTATTTGGAAGTTTTCGTCGTCAAGAGTGCGGAAGCTCTCCAGAAAGAAACATTAGTTAACCTGACTAAAAAGCAATCACTTAACGAGAAACATTTGGCTCATGTTTCATGGATTTCAGACACTATTGATAACGTTTACAAAAATGGAACTTCAGCGCAGAAATTCATAGCAGAACAAAATGTTGAAAATGAAGTGAACGTTCTATGCAAACATGTCAAGGAGGAATGTCAAAACTTAGAGACGGTGACAATTTCTTTTCATTTTGACAAAGCATTAAAACTACCACCACGACCAATAACTGAACATGTTCCGGGACAACTCATATCAAAGTCGCTTCGGAAGGGGGAGATTAATTCTGTCAATATGGCGGTGACATTAACTCCAGTCTATTCCATTCTTTTGAATGAGACGGCGGGAGATGATATCAAGAAACCGATATATTTTACAGGGATAGACTTTCTACCTGATGGTAGACTGATAGCTGTAGACAACTGCAAAAAATGTTCAGTTTACAATGAGAAGCTTGAGAAAGTAGGATCATATCAGTTATCTTACCAGCCACTGTCTGTTGTTGCTGTCTCGGAAGAGAAAGTAGCGATAACAAGTGACGGCACCTATGTAGAATTTCTACATGTTAGTAAATATAATGAAATAAGATCGAGCAAGAAATATAAAGTAACAACGAAATATAATTCTATATTTTTGAAAGATGATAGGCAATTGATTGTCGGGACTATTGAAGACCAAAGACCAGTTCGCACGGTGTCATTGGTAGGAGAGGAGAAAAACTTCATTAATAACTTTCAAAATAAGGCATATCCTGTTGGCGCAAGTCTTTGTACTTACATAAAGAACAGTGACAAACTCGTGCTTACAGATGAAAATACAGTCTACATATATGATATCAAAACAAACAAGAAACTCAAAGTGAAGGATGAGCAGATAAGGAAACCAAGTGGTGCAGCAGTTGGTCCCTCTGATACTATCCTGGTTTGTAGTAATAGAACAAACTCCATTGTACAGGTATCACAAACGGGACAGATCTTGTCATCTCACAGGATAAATATGGATTCGCCATATAGAGCATGTGTCTCACGTGATAAAGCATTTCTTGTTGTTACAAATAATGATAATGGAAGCAGGAAAATGCAGAAATTCGAAATATCGTGAAAAAAACACAACCTTCTACAATGCACATACAAACACATACATATACACACAAAAAGTTAGAAATTAATTGTTGACGGTGACATTTGAAAAGTTTGATTTAGTCATTTATATGTCTGTTACAATGTAGTTGTTCGTAGCAGAATAATTATTTATACTATTTGCGTAGAACATGTGAAAAAAAGAGAACAAATTGTCTACTTTGATATCAGGTTTTAATATAGCAAACATGATATAGGTGGACAATGGTGGTTCTAATATTGTTTTTTTTATTTTAATTTTAGTTTAGGTTCCTGTACCTAATTTTGTAGATAAACCAATAAAGTAACAAATTTAACTTTTATTTAGCACGCATGCAATATATATATTTAACAGTGTTCTGTGACAACATTATTGTTCTGACCTATAATCATTCGACTTTGTTGATTGTATTTATTCATCTGTATAATAATCAACTTATCAATATTATTTTTGTTTTTTAGATTTTGTTTTGAAAATGCTTTTGTTGTATTTGAACATTTTGTTTTGTAATGACTTATAACCATATGATATCTTGTAATTTAACTTCGTGTTTTGTATATCCGTACAGTGTGTATCTGACAAATTTGTATATTATTTAGCATAACATAAAAACGAAACACCATGCTTGATTTGCAGTGCACAATTTGTCTGTTTTCTTTCTTAAAACAAATCTGTTTGAACGTTTTATTGCTGGAATATGACGTTAAAAACTTTTGTCACAAGTTATGAACTCGGCAAGCCTGAACATATGTGAGATCTGATCTCTTCGGATATTATGCTTTGCAAAAGGCATCTGACATGCTAAAGCCATATATTAGAACCTCTTTCAGACACATGGCAACAGAGGGGGGCTATATTTTCCTTTTTACACAAGATCATCAAGGAAAGATGGCGTTCAATGAACACAATTGAACGAAAGAATAACAATGATTTATTTTAATTAATAACAATCAATTTACCCTTCAGGTCAGGCACAGACAAAGTTTGCAAAAGTTGAAGAACGTAACTTCTCCCCACACGAACACTGCGGTGCACCAAAACCCGGGTAAATTGCGATGGTGTATTCGTGTTTTTTTTATGGAAAACCAATGTTTTACTTGTTGATTGTTGCTCAGATTTTGTTATTTGAAATTTTGTCTGTTCAAGATTTTAATCAAGTTGTTATAGGTTAATTAAAACAACCTTTAATAAAATTAAGTTATAAATATGTTTAATCAGTTATCAGTTTCTGACAACATTATCTAGAAGACAATTGAATCACATGGTTATTCTTTGATATGATACATTGTGTATGCCAAAAGATAAAGCTACTAAATATAAACATATCAGTATTGTGAATTTTAACATGAAATTATGTAAGAAATAAAGACATTTTCATAATTATTATGACTTCATTTTTGTGCTCTCTTAATGTTGAATTAATTCAAATAAAGATATCTATCCAGATAATTATATGCCATAATAATTCATGATTGTTTGACATTACATTTTTTAAACAAAGGCTGATTACATAGTTGTAATATTTATACATGTATGTTGTTTCACAATTATTTTATGCGGGTGGCGCGGTTTTCGCCTCCCGTTTAGACGCATTCGGGAAATTTTATTTAAAGTAATGTTACGTTGTGCATTTTTAATTAAACCAAGTCACACAAACACGAAAATTTAGCCATCATTATTTTATCACCTTGTAGAATGAGTATTAATGATGTTATCTCATGATTTAAAATAGCCAAATTTATATTCAAATACATGTACCATGTCCTTTGTTGTCCTTCTTCCTTACTGAGTTCGACATAACATCTAATTCTTACGTAACTTTGGATGATTCATATAAAAATATTTATCCATTTTCTGGACTTCTTAATATATATCATTTTGTTATATATCAGTCATTCATTGAAATAGTTGATATCTTATTTGTTCCTAGAACAAATATATTCAACATGTACCATGTCCTTTGTTGTCCTTCTTCCTTACTGAGTTCGACATAACATCTAATTCTTACGTAACTTTGGATGATTCATATAAAGATATTTATCCATTTTCTAGACTTCATAATATATATCATTTTGTTATATATCAGTCATTCATTGAAACAGTTGATGTCTTATTTGTTCCTAGAACAAATATATTCTACATGAAAAAAATGTTCTTACCTCCCATTTATATATTGAAACATTTCAATTATCTTAGACGTTTATTTGTGCAGATTCAATAAAAACTAAATATCGATTAATCAAATATGAGACTGTTTGAATGAAGAAGGCATTTTTCAAGAGCATTTTAATATTTATTTTGTCCCTTTTGAAACCGCCCGGCCATACGAAGTCGAGTCTTCTTCAGTATAATTTCGGGTAGTTTATCCAATATCCATTTTATCCTCTATCTAAATGCTCTTTAGTTGTATTTCATTCCGAAAAATTCGGTTTTTATTCTTGTTTTAATTTTTTTTTAATCTGTTCATAAGCTCTTAACTTCGGCAAAATTCTGATAAAACATGTATTTTTAAAGTACATGTATCTTATAAATACATAAATAATCAAGTATGCGTGTAATAATATATAATTTTTTATTGATCATATTCAAAACAAAAAAGAAATAGTTATTTTGAAAAGAGAAGGTTTGCAGAGAATAATTTAACGTAAATGCACTGACTATGGATTGTGCCCCTCCCCTTATGTGATAAATAACATGATATGTTCTATGCCCTTAAATAGGTCATACTATGTGCCGTGATTATGTTTATGCGCGTTAAATGCAAATAAGCGTACTATTATCGAATTGAATGTTTATTGTGAAACTGGTTGTAAGATGATGGTGGACCTGTACATAGGGGTAGATTTGTTTTCAAACATTCCAATATGAAATTTAAGTTGAATGTTTTTGATAGTAAAAAACGGACAACATGATTAAAAACAAGAGATTAGTTGAACATGCTATATAATTGTTACATAATTAGAGCATTGGCTATGCTGATACTTCTTTTATGCAAATGTTTTTAACATATAAAAAGGATTTTAGTCAAAAGAGTGAGATTACGATAATATACAACACAATGACAGTTCTTGAAGGTCGACAAAATACCAGACAATTTAAACGTTATAACTTGTAACAGCAGAAAAAAGGTCCCAACCTTTACAAATACCCCTATATACATTTCTATAGGAGAACACCTAAACTAAAGATATATATCAGTCATTCATTGAAACAGTTGATGTCTTATTTGTTCCTAGAACAAATATATTCTACATGAAAAAAATGTTCTTACCTCCCATTTATATATTGAAACATTTCAATTATCTTAGACGTTTATTTGTGCAGATTCAATAAAAACTAAATATCGATTAATCAAATATGAGACTGTTTGAATGAAGAAGGCATTTTTCAAGAGCATTTTAATATTTATTTTGTCCCTTTTGAAACCGCCCGGCCATACGAAGTCGAGTCTTCTTCAGTATAATTTCGGGTAGTTTATCCAATATCCATTTTATCCTCTATCTAAATGCTCTTTAGTTGTATTTCATTCCGAAAAAATTCGGTTTTTATTCTTGTTTTAATTTTTTTTTAATCTGTTCATAAGCTCTTAACTTCGGCAAAATTCTTGATAAAACATGTATTTTTAAAGTACATGTATCTTATAAATACATAATAATCAAGTATGCGTGTAATAATATATAATTTTTTATTGATCATATTCAAAACAAAAAGAAATAGTTATTTTGAAAAGAGAAGGTTTGCAGAGAATAATTTAACTAAAATGCACTGACTATGGATTGTGCCCCTCCCCTTATGTGATAAATAACATGATATGTTCTTGCCCTTAATAGGTCATACTATGGCCGTGATTATGTTTATGCGCGTTAAATGCAAATAAGCGTACTATTATCGAATTGAATGTTTATTGTGAAACTGGTTGTAAGATGATGGTGGACCTGTACATAGGGGTAGATTTGTTTCAAACATTCCAATATGAAATTTAGTTGAATGTTTTTGATAGTAAAAAAAACGGACAACATGATTAAAAACAAGAGATTAGTTGAACATGCTATATAATTGTTACATAATTAGAGCATTATGGCTATGCTGATACTTCTTTTATGCAAATGTTTTTAACATATAAAAAGGATTTTAGTCAAAGAGTGAGATTTACGATAATATACAACACAATGACAGTTCTTGAAGGTCGACAAAATACCAGACAATTTAAACGTTATAACTTGTAACAGCAGAAAAAAGGTCCCAACCTTTACAAATACCCCTATATACATTTCTATAGGAGAACACCTAAACTAAAGACGGAAATTTCGGGATTTGAGATGAAATAACCATTGCAGTTGATTTTCGGATAAAAGTCATTAAAATACCAGACATTCTCACAGATTTAACCAACAGACACCGGTTCAGACTCATTAAACATACAACTAATACCTTACTGTGTAATAGAGCGTTGAGCCAGCCAAATATTTTAAGATTTGAGTTCAATGAATTTTTTTCAATTTTTGATGTAACATCAACAAAATATCAGAGTTTTCCTGACGCATATACCAACAGATACATAGTCGAAACCCTAAGCATGCCACCATATTGTGTTCTGCAGAATTGAGTCTAGAACTCTGATATGATTCAGAATTGGCAGCATTTGATCTTAAATGACCGGTTTGACAGCAGATACAGTCGGATCATGCAATTTTATGGGTTTCTGTGGAACTGAGTCTGTGGATCACAAGAGCCAGCAAAGACGATGAAATTTGAGCGAATATTACAATTTTTACTAAGCTTATAGTCCACAGAATACCTTAGTATTCCTCAACCTCGGAAACACCCGAGTATTCTCAACGGTCATACCTATACCAGCGAAGAAACGGTCAGACCCGTTAATCATCCATTCATATAAGTCTCTCTGGATTTGAGACTGGCGCTCACAGGGGCAAGCCTGAAATTGCGAGACTCGTATTCATGAGTCGAAATAATAATTAACA